ACGTGCAACCGTTTCGTCTTGAGATTCCAATACCAGTTGACGTGCTGTCCACGGAAGGTCATGCTGCTGACAATTGCTTTCCAAGCTGGGTCAACCTGCATAATGCCAGCAATGATCTTGTCTCTTTCCGCCATGTTGTAGGTGCTCCTAAACAGAATTTGAAAGATCATTTCCAAGATCTCCACTGGGAGGCTTTTAACGACAACGCTCGAAGCCTTGGAGGTGGAGCGACTCCCCCTGGACGCGGCCATTTCTTCACTTTGACATTGAAACTCGTGAGCCTGCGGTCTCGGACGCCATGATCCTGAGTTGTTCTGGCCTATAGCAACTATGTCAGAGCACTTTAATAGCTTCGTCGTCAGAACGTTGGTATCAGCCCGGTTTTCAACTTGAGCATTATCAAGACCAATCTCAATACATGAAGTCGTGGTGAATGGACATTGTTGCAGGTAAGCTGGTGAAGGTGCCAGGCACACCTGTTTTTGTGAAGTCAGCATTATGGCAGATGGTTGTATGTCACTTGAGATCCGGGCCATTGAGCAGTAAGACTCCGAGATGCTCATGTCTATTGCCTGCCCTTTTGTTGCTCAAGTCGTCCTTGGATCATCACGCCTGGATATGTAAGCTATACGAATCAATTCGGGCCAGGCATCTGCTAGCCACATAACATGGAGGTCAGGTTTGAAGAAAGTATCAGTCTATACGAACCGCCTTCGATCAGACCAATACCTCAAGAACTCGAGGTCGTGTGCACGATAATGGAGCGGTTGCCGAAGCGAAATCATGCCTCCATGCTTCCATCGGACCGAGAATACGCCAAGGCACGTGCTCATGATGCGAAGGAGCTTTTCTGATGCAGCAGCTATCAAAGATACAGTTATTGGTCTTTAGTTTCGGCGCGAAGATTCTTGAACGTATCGATGCTGTCCATGTCTTCGTCTCTGTACGGTGTGGCTCTTGGAACCTTGAACATTTCAATGCATGAGAAGGTCGCGATGCTCTGGAGCAGAACATTACGAGTTCGTCCTCGGCAACAAGACTTGCAACACTCTGCCAACAGATGACATCCGGAGAGCACATATGCAAGAATGTTTAGAAGCTGAAGGGCAAAAGACACGATCCTGCCAAGCCCAAGGAACCTGTAAGCAACTGTACCGAAGCTTCGGCTGCGCCTGCTTGATTGGGCAGGACAGAATGTTATCTATCCGTTGTTGGCACTGATTATGGCTCAAGTAGCTGCAGACAGAGCGAGCGTGTTTGCCAGATACACAGATGTAGCAGGTTTCGGACGTGATTTGTCACCACTCAGGAATCTGTTAAGTGTGTGTACTGCCTATCGCTGTGATTTCGAAGGCCCAGATGGCTATCACAATCGCGCCTATCACATCTGCTGATATTCCAGCAGCCATAAAATGTATACAAGACGCTTTCGACGACGACCCCTACAACAATTGGGTCTTTGCTAAGAAGTTAGATCCCAAACTGGGTGGTTTCGACAAGCTTCGCAACTATGCCAGTCTAAGAGCTAAATGTGAGTGGGGCATGAGAAGCAGCTATGCATTATTCTATGTCGCCAAGGAGGACGACAAATTGCTCGGAATATCGATGTGGACAACGCCAGCAGCGACCGCACGACCACAGACGTGGACAGATTGGCTGAATGACTATCGGTTATGGGTTGAGCAGGGCGTCAATGTGCTCTGGTATCGTGGTTGGGGTGGGCTGAAGCGGGATAGGTATTGGATATGGAAAAAGGAACAGGAGAAGTGTCAGCAGGAGGTGTGGACGGACGAGAAGGGATACTATTTCGTCAATATCGTGACCGTAGCGCCCGAAGCACAAGGAAAAGGCATTGGAAGGCAGTTATTTGAGGTTGTGACTGAGGAAGCAGACAGAGAGGAAAGAAGGTGCTACTTGGAAAGTTCAAGATGGGAGCCGAATGTGAGGATATACGAGAGATTGGGCTTTGAGGTCTGCAAAAAGATGAGGTGTACAGCTGAGGATGGGAGCGATGAGGGTGTGGATCTTTTCTGTATGATGAGAGAGCCGAGGAGTGTTTCTTAAACGATACAACCCAAAATTTGTGTTCGTGGCTGTTGGTATGTCTGCAGAGGTGATTTCGCGATGATTGTTGATATGCCTGATACAAATCACAGACATCCTTCTCTTCACAAAATTCGGTAAATCTTTGCTTCACGACCCGACACCACGATAATATTGCAGAGAATGCACTGTCCATACGTAGCAATATAAAGGTATGTGGCTTGCTAGGTGGTAGTTCTGGCTCATCAGTGATCCGGCTGTAGTCGAAGAAAGGTTGAGGTAGAGCTGGGTGGCGCTCTTGATCAATGAGAAGAATCAATCTCTAGCGCTCGGCGTTCACGAGAACAGAATGCTGTATTGAGAACGGTGGCGAGTCAGCCGAAGAATGTCAAGCTAAAACCTGCTTCGTGAAAGAACATCAAACTGATTGAGACAAGACGTCTGCACTCGCGAGGTTGAGGTTGAGGGTAGCTCCTGCCAGCTTCAGGCGCATGCGAATTTGCTGATGCGAACGGACGTGTGAGATCTACCTGCCGTTCAGAACGCTCTTTGAGTCAGCATTCTGTCGGCAACTTATCACGAATCAAAGCATTCGCTTCACGAGCCATTCATAAAAATTAAAAATGCATGTTGTGTCTCGCAGGCATACTGTCCAAATTTTGGCTCACAACAGGCCACAGCTATGAATAGCAGGATAATCGTCGCTCAGTCGCTGCTCTGAGTTGCAGTCGACGGCTGCATCAGTCCACAGCTTGATCGCGCAAGTTTCAAAGACGGAAAAGAGTAACAACTTTCATGCACAACTTGCTTTGCGAAGAAGCTCAACGAGCTCACATTCGATACTTCCAACTGCTGACACTTCCTGCCCTTCTCATTGGACTGCCGTGGCTTCACAGCTGTCATTAGCCTCGACGCTGCATTCGAACCAAGCTGTACTTGTAAAAGTCGAGCTTTTGACCCCACACCACCTCTCCAAGAAGCTGCAGCTACTTCTTCTCTTATCTGGCACGTGTTGACATAGCTGGTAGACGTTGCAATCCGCGAGTACCTTGCCAGGCACCTTCTTGATAGAGACTTCCCGACTGGTCAGCTAATGCACAAGCATCGACCAAGCCCTCTAGCCGAGCTATAATGATGCAGATCGAGAAATGACAACTTCTACCAAGAATGCCGCTGGTTGGGAGCTATAACACGACTTCGACATATCCCGCCGTGAAACCATCGTGAACTCTCATCGCCGCTGCTGATATGAAGTTTCAAAGTGCTGTCCTCTTGTCCTTGGTGGCAGCAGTGACTGCCAAGTGGTCCTCCAATCTAAACTATCGTTCTCCTTCTGAACATCATCCTTTTCTAGGTATCGCCATTCATAAAGTCGTCAAACGAACCGTGGATGCTACTTCATTCAATCCCAGCCAGTTGAACTTCACACATGGCGTTGCAAGTGGTGACCCATACCCAGACTCAGTGATTCTGGTTCGTAAGTTGCCCTACAAAAGAGCAGTTGAGCTGATTATATTAGTGGACGAGGTGTTCACCTGTCTATGACAATGACAGGAGTAATGGTAAGCAGGAGTGCCTCATCCCAAGGGTAGAGCTAACTACGTACCAGTCACGGTTACTGGATTGGTCCCACTCTTCAACCACGATACGAGTGAATATGTTGCGGTATCGACTGCACCTGTATGCGTGAACTGGCAGATCTCCACTTCACCCGCTATGTCTAGTCCGGTCAATCAAGGTACAGTATACACTAGCTCAGACATTGACTACACCATCAAGGTAAGCAAGAATTGCATTGAGCACACCATGATCTGATGGGTGTCCAGGTCGAAGCAACCAAACTTCAACCCTTCACTCAATACTATTACAGATTCAATGTTTGCAACTCAACCAATTACAGCGCTGTTGGACGGACAAAGACCAGCCCAGGTCCCAACGACGAAACTACCGCTGTCAATGTAGCTGTTTACTCGTGCTCCAACTACAACTTTGGCTTCTTCAGTGCTTTCGGCAACTCGGCAAGAAAGAGGTCCGTGGACTTTGTCATCCACCTGGGTGATTTCATCTACGAGTATGCTGAGGGCGTTTATGGTTGGGGGTGGTCTATTGGACGTATTCCTCAGCCAAATGCCGAGATTCGAACGCTCTACGACTATCGAAAACGTCACGCCATCTATAGAGCTGACTTGGACTCGATAGAGTCTTTCGGTAATAATGCGTGGATCCCAGTTTGGGACGAGTAAGTTGAAGCAATAAAGATTTGCGACATACTAACGATCCCTAGCCACGAGGTCGGCGACAATACATACCGTGATGGCATGGCTGACCAGAACAACACTGAGGGCAGTTTCGCTCAATATGACATCAACTTTGGTAAGTCTTGATCACAAACTGCGACCTCAATACTGAGACCTCTTAGGTGGCGCTGGTATCGCCTTTGACCAAAGGAAGATGAATGCGGTTCGAGCTGTAAGCCTCAATCGAGTTCATCGACGACCGCAATTGACTTTGTGATAGTACTTTGAATGGATGCCGATCCGCCAGGTCGACATGGATGACAACCTTCGAATCTGGCGATCGTTCAGTATTGGCAAACTCTTCGATCTGATGATGCTTGACACAAGAAATTACGATCGATCGATCACGGATCTCTACTGGAACACTGACTATATTCATGCTATCTCAAACGATGCGGGCCGCTCGATGATGGGTAGTCGACAGGAGAATTGGCTATACAACTCACTCAGTGCTTCGAAAGACCGGGGTGCGCACTGGCGTATCATTGGCTCACAGACAATTTTCTCGAGAATGAATCTCTCCATTGGGCTTGGTAACGAGAATCCTCTAAACTATGATCAGTGGGATGGCTATCAGGCCAATCGAAACAGGACCTTCCAACATCTTTACGATAATAACATTGGCAATAACATTATGTTGTCAGGAGACAGCCATGCTTCGTGGGTCTCCGACCTTGTTTGGCTTGACAATCATGCATACAACGAGAGCACTGGTGCAGGTAGCATTGGAGTCGAGTTTGCTGGCAGTGCAGTATCATCTCCTTGTCCCTTCGGCCAGAATATTACCCAGGTCAGAGCCAACAACATCTCAACCTGGCTCGTCAATGCGAACAGAGAGCTTCAGTGGCAGGATTTGTACTACAGGTAAGCATCTTTTACATTCTATATGCTCCTACCCTTGTTATTAATCATGACACAGAGGCTATTACGAGCTGAACATCAGTCCTCAGCAAGTTGTCGCTAAATACTTTGGCATCCCATCTGTTGTCCAGCGCCTACCCTACGAAGTCAGCTTGGCCAACTTCACGGTCAGAAGTGGCGCCAATGCCGTACAAAGACCCGTCGCAGGCGGTATTGTCGAGTCGGGAGCTCTCAAATTCGGACAGACCAGGATGACTAACATCAGTAACAACACGCTTACCGGACAGTACTTGATCACGAACTTGGAGACTTTTGGATATCGACAGGGTCCGAACGGAAGTACTCCAGGAAATACTGGACAGCCACAAGCCAGCTCTGCTAGTGGACCTGTGGTACCTGGTGTCACGAGTTCGGTCGCGTGAGAGGAGGTTGTGAATGAGCTTAAGACGGGTGGGCCTCAGCTGATCTAGATTTGTGAACACAATCAAAGTGATTATATAGATGAATATACACTGATACATGACTTTTCATACATCGCCAGAAGCGCTTGTTCTTCTCCGTCTCTATCAAACAGTCCACGTGTCCTACTTCGCGAAATTGCTGTCTGGTTCTGCAACATCCCAAAGCAACTAGGATACAGGTATATGGTGCGGGCCCATCGCGAGGGAAAATGTCATCGTAGGATCCCGACCGTCAGCTTTTCTCGACTACATCCGACCCACGTCGTTCCTCCTTTCCTCAGAGGTAACTCAAACATTCTTTCAATGCCGCAGGTAATCCGTTGAGCAGAGATGCAGATTTGGCAGGGCGACAGCGCATATCAGTTTCGACCGCGCGATGAGGCTCGGTTGAATCTGCTTGTCGTCTCGTTGTTCCATACACCGATTTCTAGAATGCTGCAGGACTAGCTGCGAGAGTCATGATCAAGCCATCGGACACTCTTTAAGTTTCAGGCGCAAAAAAGGTATCTCGAATTGCTGTGTCAATAACCTCAACGCCACACCAAATTCTCTGGTGCATTCGATATTCCTAAGGATTAGATCAGAGCATATTTTGCGCGTGGCCTAGCCTAGACTTCGAATTTTGTCCTTGAGGATCCCCTTGCTGAGTAGGAAGATACCGGCAGCACATCTGCTGCATTTTGAGAATCCCAATTCCTGCTTGGAGCTGCTACCTTCAGCTCGAATGCATCTTCGATCTCGATGATCTGGTCGATGGCTCGTGCATTCATCTCTGCAGCCAACAAGGCTTCTCACCTGGGTACTCGTCTCGGTCGCACGACACTTTGCCCATCCAGTGAAGAATACCTGCAACGTGAGCCTGCAGAGAACGGTGGGAACACAATCGGTGTTGTGTGAAGGACTGTCAGAAGCCTTCTTTCGGATTGCGTTAGTCCGATCGCGCTCACCAGCTCTTCGGCACGTTCCAGTATTCGCTCGATGATGTATGTAAGAACTCGCTGCCATTCTGGTAATTCCGACAGGTCAAAATCCAGATGTAGCTCATGTGGTAGTGCATCCTCATCGCCAAATAAGCGAAAATATTCTTATCACTCGAGGAATCCACCTGATCGATGATATAGGGTCGAGAAGAGCGATACAGTCGCAGGAAGTCTCACAGAATGCTTTCTGCTCATAGAGCACCTGCGACAGAACACCGTAGTCGATACCATTGACACCAGAGACGAATATAGCATGCACACTGCCAGTATATTCCGTTTGCTCCAACAACAGTTGTACAGGCCCGATCATGCTTCTGGCAGAGTAGACATTGACGTTGGTAATGCTGGTGTAGTACTCTCGATTTGTCGATCATCGAAATACGTGAGGTATGAACCAAGTATGCCAAAAGTAATGCCTAATGGGTAAGCTTAAGCGTTGGAACCTTGAAAAGTTCAGAAAACCATTTCGTATTCGAAAGTTAGTAGGTAAGCACATCGATCACATCAAAACGACAAAGAGCAGGTTGACACCACTGACAATATATTCTGATCGTACTCTGTACTAATCAGTAAGATACAACTCAAAACGACAGCCTCCGGCCCTTAAACATCACGAAGGTATTGCGACCTCTGTTTAGGGTAGTGAAACTTCCACAATGCCCTTTTAAACCTCGGGATTATGCTTGGATAATGCCAGAACCGGGTTTCGGGCGCGTTGCAGAGTTGTAAAATCAATCCTCGAGTATGTAGTTAGTCGCCAGGATTGTATGACTGAGCGCTTTGTCACCTTGGCTCATCCAGGCATGATGTGCGTCCAAGATGGTCCGAATTGGAAACCTGCAAAGCACGGTGCGAACACGTGCAAAAAGTCATTGAAGGTTTAGCTTTCAGTAGAAAGAATCGAGGGAAGAATTCGTGATAGGTTTGCATACACTAGAACAAATCGTGAGGCTGGAAGAAGTCACTCGCCAAGGTTGCACCGAGTTTGCTCGAACGAAATACACTCGCTGTATCTGGGAACACTACCATGACCTCCAACCATGATGGAACGCTGCAATTTTGTTTTGTTACACTTTGTTTCACGCTCCTTAGAGAAGTCAGTTAGTCAAATCTGCCGTTCCTTGATTAGCTGCCACGCTTCGTCCTCATCGACAAGTGGCACGTCCACATCAGGAAGTACTTTTTCCTGTCATATGAAACCCGACAGTCATACTCGGTGTCAGGCCGTTTTGCAAGCTGCTTGACACCGGACACAGAGATCTGGATTGAGATTACAGTACCACATCCGGCACTCCTTCTGGTCAAGAGTGATGATGAACTTCAAAAAAACTTGGCGGTCGCAATGAAAGCTCAAGTTCCGCGTGGAGCTTACCAAACATCCGTTACTGGAGCTGATGGAATATCTCACCTAACCAAAACGGGAAAGGTCTATCGAGCGATCCCATTATGACCAAGCAGATATTCCGAAGCATTCCTGATGATGGTTGTTCTCGAGTACTCCTAGGCATGGGAAGACTTCGCCTTCGGAGCCTAAATCTCACATACAGAAAGTCCTTCGGATCAATGCATTTCCAGAAGGCGCAGTCTGGCCTCCTACTCGTGAACAATCTCAGTCCTTCTGGGCGTAAAACAGTTTGCACATTGGTGAAGCGATTACCTATCTGACCAATCCTCTGTGGACTATTCGTCGTCTCCGGCCAAGGCTGTCCTAAATCACTGAATCCATGTCAGACAGGTGTTGTTCTTGGCTGCACCGGAAATTTTGTCGCACCACGCATGCTGGCCGAGTCGCTGATCGCTACGAGTAACACAGCTCGTGTAGCACAAATCGATTAGCGAAACCAGCAAGACACAGAGAAAGTCACTGTCTGATGGCAGGTGCCGATTTTGATAGCCATGCCTCTGGAAAATGTGTGTATCTCAATGTCCCAGCTATCCGACAACGCCCCATCAAAAATCGCATGACGTCAAGGAAGACAAAGTTTACAGCTTCCATTGCGACCAAGGCCGTTACTAGCCCAGAACTCACGAGTTGTTTTTGGACTCATCCGTAAGCTTGAGCTCCAGGCCTCCGCGATTCGACACCGGACATGATTCCACAATGATTACCAAAGTGGCTGAAATGTTCAAGGAACGACCGAGACGCTACTGACTACAAACTTTCGAAGACCGGAAACGACGTGTGGTGCCAAGACAGGATAGATCGAAAAGCGAGCCTTGGCCCGCGGGGTTGTGATCATGCCAAGTTGACCAAGTCCGACTCGGCTATCCACCAGCCAAAAGCGACTTTAGGGTGAGCGCTACTGCTCACTGGCGAGCAAGTTAAGCACATGTACCAGGAAATGCTGCCAATAATTTTGCTCAATCGAAAGCTTGTCAATAGCAGATCTTGCTTTGCTGAGCTTCGGAACCACCTGGATGACGGCAACGACTCAGATATATGCATGGAGGCTGGTTGTCCTTCAGCACATGGGCCGACTGTCGAGCCATGCAAGGTACAGCTCAAGCAGGGTCGGACTTCTGGTTTAGCTTAAGCAGAAGACCTATAACAAGTGCTTTCTCGCTGTTATTCTAGCCACGATCATTCCCATCCATAGCACAATCTTGTTACCATCACTCGCTCAAACACAACACCAACTTCAACATGAAGCTTTCAACCGTATTCTTGTTCGCCACTTCAGCTGTCGCTATTCCTTGGGGCAACTGGCAAAAGTGGAACAAGCCAAGCACTACCTGCCTCACATACGAGCAGGCCTTGTATATTCAGGAGAGATCGCGTGTCTTCCAGCTGAAGGCCAACCTCACTGATGCACGACTTGCTGGTGAGGAGCTGTTCGCCGCTCAGGAGTACAAGCAATATGGTCACTCCATCAACTCTCTCCGAGGAGACGCAGTATGCATTATCACAAGACTTGTCACGTTCTCGTAATTAACTTTTTACAGCTCGGCACGCTCGTTGAACCAGATGGTGTAACATATGTTGCCAACGTCCTATCCGCACCACCACTATACCGAATCGACAGTCTTGCCATGCTACACAACTGCACTCACATTATGGAGCACTGGGACTTCTACGGTGTCGGCGGTGCAAGAAACAACCATATCCCAGTCCGGGGCTTCGCGTTGACCAAGGTTGATCTGACACGCGAGGTTCAGCCAGTCGTGTGGAGACAAGTCGAGTTCAACAGCATGCAATGGGCAAACAATACTGGCTTCACCATTGAGTTCCCTACCACGGGTCCTTATGCGCCACAGCCAGAGTAAATATCATGGAAAGAGGAAGACACGCTTAATGATGCATGAGCTCAAAATATTGGCAACAGATAGCCATATTATTTAATGACAGAGTAATTTTGCTCATGTATACTCCAGCATTTATATTGATTGAGTGATCTTTGAGCTTCTTCCATGTACTTTACACCCTTCTTGCGCTAGAGTAAACGTGTTGAAACTTGCCGCTCTCAGTACCAAACATTCTTGTGAGTACGACTTGTGCACATAAACTAATCGGTAAGCATATAATCAATCGGTAGTTGCATTCTGTTCATACATTGTTGCCTCCTCATGCTTAGCCACAGGATTGAATCTTGACTGGACCTGAAGATGGCTCTAGGTTGCATGTCTTCGATGTGTTGTCCTAGCGGTTACAAGACAATGCGACGCGTCGATAACGCTCATGCAAGCCGCTCGCATATTCAAGTCTTTATTGGTATGCCTTCACTGCAGCCTGTTGAACGTGCTGAGCGCAGAGATTCAGAGAGTCAGCCTGAAGTGCTACAAATTTGGAAGGCATGTTTTATAAAATCGTAAGAAAAGCAATCCTGCACGCGCGCGTCGTGAGATTGCAAGTGTGATGCTCGCGAGATCCCGTGTCTGTCTGACCAAGATTCTGTTCGACCGACTGTATAGACAAGCCAAGTTGCGACGTACTCTGCATCGAGAACAATAACTGTAGATATGGATATTGCCTCCGATGCTACACATCCTCCACACGAAAATTGCCGCCCTGGCCCGACTGGTTTTGAACTCCACCCACAGACTACCTCAATGTCTCCTCCGTCATCTGCCCTCGCGTCTCAAAGGCCACACTCGCCGAGCTTAGCGACAACACTGCCCTTGTCGATGTCTTGTTCTACATGAAGGAGAGTAACACATTCTTGCGCAATGCGAGACAACCGGAAGACTGCATCATTCGGCTTCTCGTTGATGATAAGTTCCATGACGCTAATGTAAACAGCACAAAATTTGCAGCCATAAATGTGGCTAGTAAGACACTCATCGACAGTCTAAGACCGGCACTGGCTAGTGTACATTTACCTGTGCCAGACCACGTTACTGAGCAATGGAGGTTCATCCCACCATCTAGTGACCTTTTTTTCGCTCAGGGAAGAGTACTCGAAATCTTGAAGCATGGATGATTGGGATCCGTCATGGAGAAACAGCTTCGTACCTTTGTCGCGGTGATGCAGGTTGTACTGCGGAAGCTCAATCACACCGTGCGAGACATGGCTGGGAAGCGAATTATTGACTTCAATCATCTATGGACATTGTTCCCTACAGGCTCATTCGTGGTATCCGAAATCAGAGGACTTTCCCATATCTGTCAAGTTATCGAGAACTATGCTGAGGTTGTGCTGCCGGACTCTGACGCAAAAAAGAGAGAAGAAAAGCATCTGCCTCTCAAGTTCGAATCATATGGGTTCGATGGATACAGTTTTGGTAGCTACGAGGACCGCTTTCTCTTTATCGACTTTCAGGGCTTCCCAAGTATAGCAAATCTGGATTACCGACCATTGAAGTACGATGAAATATTTGGCGACGTGGGCATCGTGAGAAAAGCTATTGAACGCGATCGGAAGAGTCTAGTGTATCAGAGCTACCACCACTGTCAATATACAGGCAATTGTTATGGCTTGGCATCTGGAGAGGACAGTAGCACTGAGATGTCAAATTAACACCTCACAGTGCAGCGAATATAGCTGATGTTCGGCAGGTTGATGGACGTGTCGTAGTCGATTGTCTCCAGGCACGAAGGACGGGTACAGCCTTTCTGAAATTCTTTTGTTACACTGAACATACAGTCATGCCGATTCCAGTCAAGCGTCAAGAGATCTACAATGCAACGCGACTTCTCTTCCTGATGACGCCAACTCGAAGATCGAACGCTGAAGAGCAGGAAAAGCGACGACAATTTTTCGATGCACATGAGTAGTACTTGATGTTAATGAAACCTGCATTACCAGCTTACTCGCTCGCTCGCTCTGAACGCATGGTGCAAGTCTCGCTATAAGCTTGGCGAGAATTATGTCTGGTCTCTCACAGTTTGGGTGGATGTTGGCAAGCTGGAACCTATCGTGTTCATCGAGAACCCGATGGACCATTTGATAGGCAGCAATCCGAAGCGAATGGGTTTGCTCAGCCTATTAATCGATAGCACAGTGGAGCTCATATCGCAAGAAGACACACAGGACAAGAGAATCGAGCAAACCCGGCGAGAGCCACTACTCATCCTCTTCAATGGTGCAACAGGCGCTAGGAAGACGGCCACGGTCAAGGCAATCGCTGAACTGAACAAAAGACCACTCGTTTCAGTAGGTAGTCCGATCGCAGGGACCAGTCACGAAAGCATGAGAATGAGGTTCAGTCAGATGCTAGAGAATGCACGCTCGTGGAGGGCATTGGTGGCAGACGATAATGCTACGTTTGCACTTGCGAAGAACAAACCCCAGTCGTTTCTTAATCAGGCACACGTTGCTACTGATTTCGCGACGCTGCTAGAGCATTTCCAGGGTGTGTTCCTCCTGGTAAAGAGGGATGGACAGCATCTTGTGCATTCGATCATGCGACAGGTACGGGCGCATCTCAAGTTTGAGGAGTTTGGCAACAAGCGAATGGAGAAGATATGGCACTCGCTGCTGAAAGGAGGAGATGTGTCGTGGAAGATTTGCAATTCGGCAATTCGGGAAATCAGTGAGTGGCAACTGAATGGCCATGAGATTGAGCATTTGTTCTAAAATTTACGTCTCTCGTCCCTCTATATGCTGGAAAGGATATCACAGCAGCAGACATGGAAGGACTGAGGGACCTGACATCATGTCCAGTCGAGGAATGGAGTCGGCCGGGTTCTAGAAGTGAATTGGTTGAGCGTGCGACTGGTCGCGGTACGGACACAGTATTGTAGAGTCGAAATTTGCTTCTCGCACCATTGCTGCGTGTATAAGAGACTTTCAGAACTTGGGTCACGATTTCTTGTGAAGAACTAGTTGCAGAAAAATATTGAGATTTCATGTAACGCACAGCGAACTGGTGCATTGCCTTATCACCAGCACAAGGGAGCTTGGAATGGTTAAGGTTATCGCGAAAACCTTGGCTCTGGGCCCCGCGAATCCGGAAGCGAAACTCAGCCTGGAGCTTCCGTAAGCCTGCGACTTTTAGGTCTTCATTTTCTCCCTACCCTTCTAGTCGCCAACGACCATTGCGCCGTATCCTCACGCTAACCGACTATCCTACGAGCACGTTACAAAACACACCAATTATCTGACATGCTGCCTTCTCAGCAGACAAGCGAGACGAGCCTATGATGCTGCGCAAAGGGCAGCATTACCAACCACATCGATCAGGACGACAATACGTTGCAACCAACAGGATATGATCCGCAATGGCCTGGTCATACGACAAATCTCAGCGAGTCCGACACCAACCACACCAATAACAGCTACCAATGCCGCAGCAACCTTTTCCTCCGATGCTGTATCATCCTTGTGTACCATTGCACTTCCTAGTGGCGGCATCCTTTCCTTCAACGATACCTACACCTACGTGCTTGACGATGGCATCATTTTTGAGGCCGCCTGCGACAGCGAAGCCTTTAACCATGTGAAGAATGGAAATAGTACTGTGGTCCATTCCAATGATCCATTTTATGCCTCTGTCGCGCCGAACATTTACGCTCTAGCGACTGCGACAGTGATTAGCTACATACTGGTGATTCTCATATTCATCACCCCGAGAACTTTCTACGTTGGCGGACCAGGTGGTGGTGCCAGCTTTTTAGGGCTGAGGAGTCTGGTGCCTGGATCGGGTAGCTCCTCAGTCATAGGAGTTGGAAGAAGACCACTACTGCAGAAAGTGGCTGCCATAACTGTTGCGATATCGCTGACCATTGCGACGGCTGATACGTTCCGTGTTGCAGAAAGACAATATAATGATGGACTTATGGATTCGCAGCACCTGGTGGACGATGTGATTGGAAGTGTCGAGATTCGCGTGGTTCGAGTCATATCTGACACGTTTCTCTGGCTGGCGCAGGTTCAGACTCTGATTCGCTTGTTTCCACGGCACAAAGAGAAGGTTACAATCAAATGGCTTGGCTTTGCCATGGTCACCTGCGACACAGTCTTCAGTATCCTTGAAAATTTTGTCAGTCAAACCACGCTCACAAGGCCAAGGAGTTTTCAAGACGCGATACCTGCACTGAGCTATCTTTTCCAGATGGCCATCTCGCTGATTTACGCGTCATGTGTTATTTACTACTCGTTGTCCAAGAGGCGTTTTGCCTTCTGGCATCCGAAGATGAAGAATATCCTGCTGGTTGCAATTTTGAGTTTAGCGTCGGTGTTGATACCTGTAGTCTTTTTTGTTTTGGATGTCTCTCAACCTAGTATTGCAACATGGGGTGAGTACATCCGTTGGGTCGGCGCTGCTGCGGCAAGTGTGGTGGTCTGGGAATGGGTTGAGAGGATAGAGGCTTTAGAAAGAGACGAGATGAAGGATGGCATCTTGGGACGAGAGATATTCGATGGTGATGAAATGCTCGACATGGGCTCTGAAGGAAGAAGTAGTAATACATCGCGTTATTTCGGATTCGGAAAGAGAAGCAGCTGGAACGGCAATGATGAGAAGAAGGTATCTATGATGCCGATTCCAGCCGTGAGACCGAGGTTTCATTTTCGAAAGAACAAAGGTGCGAATGAGAAGATGGATCGTCGCAAATCTCACAAGCCTGACGGACCAACTACAAATGGGGACATGGCAGGGCCTCCGCAAACGACTACGCCTGTAAGCAGGAGCGACACCACAAGTGCTGCAAGTACAGTTTATGCAGTCCGCTATCAGAACGTTTCTAGTCCACCTCCAGCTATACCGGAAGCTGCAGCACACAGATCGCGTCAAGCTTCTGTGCAGATCAATGGGCAGATAGCGCCACTTGAAACAACTGAAAGCTCAACACACGCCAACAAACCCATACAGACGGCTAATCTGCCTGAGAGCCAACCTGAAGAAGCTCGAAGAAAAGACGATGCTTCGCGTCGACAGGTTTGGCAGGCAGTCCCAAATCCCTTCAAGCGTAAACGCACCGAGCCTCCTGCTGAAGTTGCCGCACAAATGGCCGCCTCGAATGTGCGACGCTCTCCCGCTCAAACATACCATAATCTGCGTGACAGGCTTGGTGCTTTTACTGTTGCCCAACGCAGTCGTCTTGCTGGACGAGCACGAACTGGTCCAAGCCCACCAATCCCGGTGACAGTCATTCCTGCCCAGCCAAGGCCATCACGTGTCACGAACACAATCTTCGAGGAAAGTGCACAGAATAGTAGACAGCCAAGTATGACACCGAGTCGCGATCGAAGGAGCTCGAGAAGAGGGAGCCTAGCAGTCACGGTCATTCCAGCGCCAATACGTGGAGCAAGGACCTGGAGTCCGGATGATATGAAAGACACTCAGCACGAACCTGCTACTCCGACGCCACCTCCACAAGCTCACGCTCAACCAGGAAATGCTACAACTGACGCCACCAGTCATGCTCATGTTGATGATACCCCTCTCCATTCTGATCAGTTTCACGCGACTTCACCAGCGGACGAAGTTACAACGGTGCGAGGCGCATTAATGATCTCAGAGTCACCTGTTCGAGTCAGAGAATTCGACAACAGGAACGCCACCTCGACGAACTGGTCTAGCGCACGCTTCCGAGCCACGACGATCAATTCTCTGGATGATAGGCTGAGTAGTGTCAGTCCTGGCTCGGCCGCGAGGTCTAACGGTGGAAATGGAATCGAAATTGAGAGCCAGGCAATGCCACAAGAGAATACGAATGCAGAAGAGTCCTTGGCCACTGAGAAGGCAGGCGGAAATGTCAATAGCACTGACAAAACCATTATAGAAGACGAGGGGAAAACGACTGCCAGGATCTCGAACAACAGCCAGCAGTCTGGACATGATGGAGAAGGTTGAAACCTCAAAGATACCCTTAGACAAATACGTACTTGATACCCAATGTTCTCAGCGCATTTTGATACTGCTTGCAAAGTTCACTGATTGAATCCATCCTTTCTTGGTGGTTGTGTCCGAGGCACTCATGTGCAAGTTGCAGTGCCAATCAGTTCCAATCTGAGATTGTACTCTTAGAGACTCGCGTACTTGCCAAAGCACCGAACTTATACAGCGATCATAAAAGTTAGCGTGGCCAAGTTTTTCCGCTCGAGCTAACTTGGGAGTCATCTTCGTCTTGCATCATAGAACAACATCTTTCTCAGTTTGCTTCCCTGTATCGCTCAACTCCCGGACTGTGCTGTGAAGAGACAAAACGCCATCCATTTTTTTTTGGTTGTTCTGCAAGTACCCAAACGAGGTCACCAGCCTACGTTCGATGACCCAACAAGCGAAGCGATTGTTCTTGTTTAAGCATTGCCGAACTGGTTCACGAAATGATACAAGAGAACGCCTTGTTCACGCCACTCCCCGATTATGACGACCTCGGCTAGGCGTGATCGAAATCTGAACAACACCCTAACCGAGATTTGTGACTCGAAGACGTGGTATATTTGCCAGCCAAAGTGACACAGTGCCCACGAAAGCTTTGAAGTTTGGAGTGCAAATCGTGCTCTGTGCGAGCTAATCAGATTAGTGATTAGCAAGCGCTGAGGCGCTTGGCCGAACAGAACTAGCCATGAAATACATCCGTGCTATAAGGTCGATCTGCAGAAGGACTCTCCTATCTTGGTCTTACACCTTGAATCAGTCGGCAGATAGCCTCCAGGGATTACAGTGTACAACTGCAGCTTTTCTAAAAACGGTCGTGTCGTACTAAGAACCTTCCATCATCTACGAAGCTATATTGTCTATATCTCCACCGCGACAGCAAAGTGTCTAGATATGAAAAGCTTACTCGGCTCTGCAAGCTTCTGCTTTCTCCTCAGCATTGATGCTCATCGAAGACAGCCGTGAAGAGGACAACATCGATCCGAATCTTTGCCCCGATGGCTACATTCAGACAGGATGATGCTCTTTCCGGCACGACTGCCAGCCCTGGACATACACGTACGGATCCATTACAGAAACCAAATCTCTCACATCTGCGAGATCTGATGGCTGCAGGTCCATATGCTTCAAGATACTGGCATACGGATTTGCAATCTGTCCTAACATTAGCCGGCATGGACGAGCTCCTATTGCATCTGCAATCACGGTTGCTACAAAGCCCGAACATCTTTATTATCGAGAATGCATCATTTTCCGACCTCGAGAAACTTCGCCATACTTGGAATCTCGATTTAGATTTTCTCGTACACCATGCATCTCTCTGCTTAACGCCGGCACGAGGTGGATTGCCACTACCAAGCGGCTCGGATTCTTGGGCTTGCTTAGATGGAATGTATAACTGCCAAGAGGTATCAATCACGAGAAACAATATTCAGAGATGCAACACGAATCATTGCTGGCGGCGAGGCGCGACTGGAACAGATCCTGTGATCAATTTTAGCACTAGAATGTCGTATTATCGAGTCACGGCACATTTGTGTAAGAGCCTCACACTAGGGCATTCTTGTGATACTGACTCAGTGACAGATATCTTCCTTGTCGATGCTCCGGTATCATGCTTGGATGGTGGCCCTGGGTGTGCCTCAATGCCCTCACTGAGCTTCCCTTACGGTATTGACGGCTGTCATCTGAAATTGCCGTATTATGGCCCTGGCATTCCGAATCTGTACAGCATTCTTCAATATATGTCTCTATCAGCCTGGACTTACGAATACTTGTTCACCAAATTTTCGGGATGTATATGTCCAGGGCTGTTGTTCCATGTGATGTCCGCAGTGGCTATACACGTTGATCTACAGGGTACCACTGTGCATGTCCAGCACCTTAGTGCCATCGAAATGAACAATGACACAATTCTCATGCCAGACTCACTGCCTGCTATCAGGGTAGGACTGATGACCACTCGCACAACGATCGACTATACGATAGCCAACGCACATCCCCACTTCAGACCTGCACTAGAAGCCCAAATTCATGGTCGAGAATCAATCGTACAGAGACTAGAAAGACACGCAATTTCGGTAAGAGACTTGGACCAATTTGCGGTGCAAACTATCCAACTCTATGCAAATTTAATCACTATCCGGCATGGAAAACTCAATGTTGAGCAAGCGAGAGAGTCACTGGAACAGAGCAAGGCAGCGGTCAAACAAGCGAAGCAAGGCATCTTTCTCACCCGACTCGCGGCTGTTTATCTTCCCCTGAGTCTGGCTACTGGTATCTTCGGCATGAACACCAAAGAGATCAACCCAGAAGCTATACCAAACTGGAAAGTTGCTGTCGTCACTGCCACGATCCTCCTGACAATCACAATCATCATCACAGTAGCTGGCGGCGCCTGGGGTGCAAGTTTCAGCTGGCTACGATGGATACCTAGATTGATCAAATCTTGCAGGCAACGGAAAGATCGTGACTCCAGTATGAGCTCAATACCTCCACGATCTCCTACCCCTCCCAGCTACGACAAGAAAGCCAGATTCGCGACGAAAGCTGTGTGGGAACTTGCGCCCTAGTAAATGATTGTCGTAAGTGTTATCGTAACCGTATGTCGGTCCGAGTAAGCACGCAAACCATCAAGCACCGTTTTGAGGCGAACATCAAAGTCGTATTGCGCACATATTTGACGAAGCATCTTCTCACTCTGCTTCCACAAAACAGTGTCAAGGGCCCTATGAATTAATGGCCCACCATTGCCTGAAGAGCCTCGTTATATCTATTACCGTGTGGCTTCGCAGCATCGACGACCTGGCGCATCTCTCGCAGCTCCTCCTCCGTCAAATCGATCTCCCGTGAGGCCCAATTCTCCTCAAGGCGCTTCGACTTTGTCGTGCCAGGGATCGCAATCATTCCCTGGGCCGCAACCCATGCAAGAGCGATCTGAGGCAAGCTGCACCCTTTCCGAGACGCGATCTTCTTGATATCGTCGAGGATAGCACGGTTCTTGTAGAAGTTCTCACCTTGAAATTTAGGGGCTGAAGGTCAAAGTGTCAGCTTTTACGCTTGAGGGAAGGCTACAAGAAGCATACCTGTGCGTCGAAAGTCATTTGGTGCAAAGTCAACGGGAGACTTGTATGGGAAGTCATCTACGAGCCAGCCGTGACCCAGTGGACTGTATGCCACATATGCCACGCCCAATTCTCTGGCTGTCTCTACCAAGCCGTCTGTTTCGTGCAATGTCTCAAATGCGGAGTATTCTGCTTGGACGGCATCGAACTTTGCAACTAAGAGATGTTAGTAGAACGTGGTTCAATTGGACTGTCAACCCACTCGAGTTCACTTTCCGCAATGTCGCTGCCGAGCACTCAGAAAGACCTATGAACTTGGTCTTGCCCTCCTTTCTGATTTCGTCTAGAGCAGGTATTGATTCCTCCAGGGAAGTATCTGAGCGAAGTCAATGCAGGACTCATATGCTAAGTCGTGTACGTACTTGATCGATGCGGTGGAGATAGTATAGATCTGGTGCGAAGCCAAGTCTCTCGACTGTACCTTCAATGTACTCCTTGATATGTGCTGCCGAGTTTGTGACTTTGCCATCACCTCCATTCATGCAATCGAAACCACATTTCGATGCCACTGAACTGTGGTCAGCATTGTTCGCCTCTGCATTATCAGCTGTGCTAGTAGTACTCACGAAAAATCTTGTCTCGAACATTATGTTTTCTGATAAAGTCACCGAGCAGCTTTTCGTTCACACCAGCTTGGTACACGACCTATATTGACATGTTCAACGTCATGCCACTGCGTAATGCCGCAAAGATGACTTACAGCCGTGTCCCAGAATGTGCAGCCAAGCTCGATGGCTTTCAGTAGGACTGGCTCGGCTTCTTCAAGGCTCATGTTATTACCAAGACCAAAGCTAATGCCCATTGCACCAAAGCCAGGTGACGGGACTTGAATGTCACCGAAAGGTAGTGATTTGACCATCTTTGCTTGCTTGTTAGTGCGTCGGCTGTCAGTGTCTGGTGTTGTCTTGATCAGTAGACTTGTGTTGTAGATCTGAGGAAAAGGTAGGATGAAGGGAATCACGACGTAGAAAGAGTGTTCTTATTCTTTCCTGATCTGCTGAAAACAAAGACCCCGACTTTTGGCATAACAAGATGCAAGTGGTCAGTATCTCCTACCGCCGCGGTATTAAGACCTATCACCGAGTGGATGATATGCATCTACATGATGAAAAGCTGTGAAAATGCTGTGCCGCCGCTTCACTGTACATACAGACATCGCTGGCGACACTTCGGCAGGGTGAAGAAAAGGTTGTTTGAGCGAAAAGCTTGTTCTCCATGGTAACTGAAGTGAATAATTGCTACCCTTTGAGCTCTGATGCATCGTGTCGAGCAGCCACTTTGCCAGAATCACAGCATATTGTATTTTCCGCCGAAAAATTAGTGGCTTCTCGGTGAATTAGCGGCTGAATCTACGGCAGAGACATTTGCCAGTGCACTTCTTGTTGTTTCGACCTTGCAGGAGGACATGAGACACCGAGCTCACATTGAATTCCGGAGCCAGTTTTCGAATCTTATCGCTTTCAGGGATTAGTGAGACGCGCGAACTCACGTGGTAATAGTGATGGCGATGACCCTTAATCAAATATCGCGCCTTCTTTGAGGTTCCAAACCTGGGAGAAACCTGACTGCTAAGCGAGGATGGGTGTCGAATTGCTGCTTTTACTCAAATTGCCGATTTCAATAGAACTCTACTGGATTGATGGAACTGGTTTTAACAAAAGTGATTTCGCAAACGAAATAAAGCCAATTTAATCACGTTCTAAGGACCTCATTACTGTGTTGCCCAGCTCCCTTGGTCTGGTGGGACACAATCTCGACACAAAAGTGGTCAATATTACGCCTCAGTGGATCCGAAAGGGATGGGTGAAAACACGGCTTTTTAACGTAATAGTACCCCACCACTGACTATGTTATTCATCACCGCTGCTCGGACATCATGGTACAGGTAATCGAACTCCCGGATCCTGATGCCGCCATCCACCAGAACCGTGCCATGTCTCTCAAATCACAACGAGCTATGATAGCTATTAAGTTCAAAACTAAGAAGCAAGTGAAGAAGACGTTCACTGATGGTGGAGAATCAGTTGGCTGGACACGTGATGATTGCCCTTGTTTCGAGTGGCTCTGCAAAAGCAAGATTGCTCAAGATCGAAGCTGCCGAACCACTGGAAGAGAACGTCGGTAGCGCTAATAACCCGACACCAATCATGATGTTCTCGATTCCTGAAAAATTTTACCCCGGGAGATGAGGCCGGAACTCTTATGACTTGAGGTGGTTCTTTCGGGGATTGCTGATCAAGAACAAAATGGTCTTAGAGGTGTGCTGGAATGATAAAGCTCTCAAATTGACAGAGTTGACACAAGCGGCACAACAAGCTTCTGATCCCGAGAACAACGGGGTGGTCAGTACTCAAAACTTGCCACTCTCGAAACTACCACCAAGTACGCTCTTTCAATTACGGCTACGAGCACACACAAATCCACAAAGCAACGTTGTAGCACAGAATCGTGGCTGAGAACTGAAAACTTGATATATGCTATTTTCCGGCTGAGGCGATAGCGAGATCGCGAAACAATGCCACAGCGACGCTATAATTTCCACGATAAAGCACTCTCACGCTACTTGTCGAGATCCTGTTGAGCACAGATCATGGATTCTTACCCGCACCTTCCGGATCATGAGCTACCACTTCGATTTCAACACGCATATCATCTTCACCCAACCTCTGAACTCCGACACAAGTCCATAGCGGCTGATGATCTGGCATCCACTTCTTCATCTCGCGAGTCATCGCGTTGATCGCTTCATTGTTCACGGGTACATGGTATGAGTTGATTCTGAAGACCTGGGACCAGCCTTGTCCACCAGCATCTTTGAGGCAAAGATCCACATTGGAGAATGCTTGGGCTATCTGAGCATTAATCTCGGTATTGAAGTCACCAGTTCTAGGATCCCAACCACCTGAGAACATGTCAGTATGTGCGGTATTACAAGTCGGCGAGGCTACCTTGTCCAGAACATTCGATGCGATCACCTACACGGACAGCTTGGCTGTACCAGTTCCTTTCGCGATTTCGTTTGCCAACGCCATCATAAGCATAATACTTGAGATGCGACATACTGTCACGGAATCTGGCTGGCGGATATTATAGATCGAGAGGGTATTCCAGTCTTCTACTTGTTGTGAGGTTGATCTTATATGTTGAATCACAGCTTAAAGTTGTAATGTCATTAGTCGTCGCTTCCACTTACACAGTGAGCCAGCTGCGGGGGTAAGCTCTCGAATGACATCACCTGCTTTGAATCGGCAGAGCACAGGGCTTGAGTAGAAGCTCACGAATATGGCACTCTCCACGTACGAGTATTCAGTCGTCTCTAGCTGCCTCTCCTGGAACGATGGTATGTATGCCATATACATCACTTGAGTTCTAACAGCATGCAGTCGAGCTTGTTCCAAATGAAGCACATTGTGTCGATTTAACAAATTAGCGGCGAAGATTAGCAACCGCCCCCAATACCAGAACGTGGCAAACGAGGCAGTGAATTAGAAGTACCACAATCTTCTGATATAAGGTCTGGCGTAAGATTAACGTGGAACTGGTTGAGCGTCTCCACTGGTCGTCGTATTGCCCATGTAGCATTTTGCGTTGCACAGTAATTTCAGAGCTCACTACCTGGCCACCCGTCACTTCTTCGGCGGCGTCCCACTCCAAACATTGCCCACACTGCTGGTGTATGCTGACTCTGTCGATGGACTAGATCCCAATCGTTACAATGATGGAGTGCAAAGCTATCGGTACATGCTAAGGCTGTTGTCCAAGACGATCTTGAGACACGATAAGAGTACAATTGCCATGACTCATGTAGTCAGCTGGTGACGCCCTTGTCTAGTGTCCATGAACTGTATACTCTTCAACAGAAGCAAAAGGCTAATCTTGGTAAGAACGGGGACAGAGCGAGGAAAGACTCAACTTGAGCTCAGAGCTGAGCAAACCAACATGCGATAAAACACAATTGCATGTCAGCGAGCGGACGATCGAATTTTAGTCCACAAATGCATCGAACGAAGGGCTTAAAGATGAAATTTCAGGCAACCCGGCCTCCAAACAATTCTCCACTAGCTAGCATGTTCGACTTGCCGAAGACGAGAAATGCCGTACTTTTGTCAGCCAAGAACAGAGAAACGTTGATGCCTGCTGAACACTTTCTAGGCGCCAAGCTTCAGAAGTCCTCCACCATATCTCAACGGAACCACGCGATCGTCTTGACAAAGCCTACTAGCACGTGGTTCGGCAAGGTAAGAAATCGACTACGAATATATATATACGTGACCGTATCCGAAGCTTTCGCAACGTCTGTCGGCCTCACTTGAAGCCGATCATTCAGTCTTGTGCTATAAACCCCTGAGACCCATCAACAAGACGAGCTCTGAAGAATAGAGCCTCATCATACTGCTGACCATCCAACGTCGCCCTTGATAGTTCAGATGTGGCAAGAGATGGAGGCGAGCGACAAGCAGTCACTATCAGCGTTACCCTGTACAAAGTCATCGACAGTGCGCTATCGAGGCATACTATCATGTGATTATTGCAGGCAAAAAAAGTGAGAGACACCTATGCGGCTTCGATCCTTCCGTTAAAACTGCCTTAGATTGCGATGTGATCGCGATGAGCCATGCAGCAGTTGTACTGCCCGGAGCGTTCCTTGCTCTTACACATCAAATTCACAGCAAAGATTAATTCCGAAAGTGCGCAAGCCGGTCAACAATCCAATGGATCGCATCCGTCGCTTGGAAAAACTCGTCGCCTCTCTCGCAGCTGGGCAGCACGCAAATTCTAGCAATTCCTCAGATAGTACTCGAGAAGTTAGAGATCAATCATGGTCCAACACTTCGCAGGTTCAAGCTGGAGTTGAAGACTCGGGACAACATGAGCTTGCTCAAAACGTCGGTCAGATGAAGATAAACGACGATCAAGTGGTCTACTTCTCCGCGGCACATTGGGAGACGGTACGCGATGAGGTAAGCATCACAAATTGGCCACACCACGCCCAGAAAGGCACCACTGATTACTTTGTACAGATTGGCATCATCAAGGACTCACTAGAAGAGAATGCCGCCTCTGAAAACACTCGTTCTTGCGATCAACAAGAACCTGCGGGACCATTGTTATTGCAAGGTCTGTTCCGGCCGCCAGACTTCGAAAATATACTGGCTTCAATGCCCGCCAAAATATTGGTCGATCGTCTGGTATCGCGGTATCTTAGTTCCGAAGATCCATCAATTGGTGAGTCTTATTGTGTTGCTCAATAGTCGAATGACAACGTTGACGTGTCTGAAGTTGTGATCCATGCACCAAATTTCCAGATCGAGGTGAGCGCATTGAACCATAAAATGATGAGAATACACTAATGCCTAAACAGTATCACCGTTTCTGGATGAATCCTTCTGCTGCCACCCTGCCGTGGGTCAGTCTTTTGTTCTCTGTCATGTCAATAGGTATGTCATCATACTTACGTACGGGAGACATTGTGCCGGCCATGCTAGGCAACGCAAGCCTCGCCATGTACAATTTCCATCGACGAGCCACAGAATGTCTCTTGCTTTCGAACTACTTAAAGCCAAGTGCCTATACCATCGAGGCATTGCTTTTGAATCTTCAGTACGAGTTTGTTCGCAGCATGGAGCTTGACGACGGCATTTGGATCATGGCAGCCACTATCATTCGTCTGGCCATGAGGGCTGGTTATCACCGTGACCCAGCACAGTATCCTCAACTCTCGTGTTTTCAAGGGGAGATGAGGCGCCGAACCTGGGCCATTATCCTCCAGATGGATGCCTTAGTGGCTTCTCAATTTAGTTTACCTCGAATGATCGCCGAGGATCAATGTGACACGCTTCTGCCTCGAAATCTTCTTGATGGAGATTTTGACAGAAACACGATCGAACTGCCACCATCAAGACCAGGCAGAGACTATACCCCAATATCCTTTACCATTGCAAAAGGCCGATTATTGAGTGTTTTCGCGAAAGTTGTGAGTGAGTCTACTTCTGTGCGACCACGAGGATATCACAACATCCTCCAATTAGATAAAGAACTCAACCAAGCGTACGCCTTGATACCAGAACAACTCCGAATGCGAAGTCCTGGAGAATCAATCACTGTGCCTTCTTCTCTTCTCATTCGACGATACCTCATAGACGTGCTCTATCACAAAGCAAGGTGTATACTTCACCGTGGATCTATGACGAAGTCGAGACATGACCACATCTTCTCGTACTCGGCCTCGTCCTGCATTGATGCAGCGATGAGTCTACTAACCCATCAATTTTCCATACATCAAGCAAAACAACAAGGACACATTCTTCGCCGCGAGCGTTGGTGGCTGTCGTCTTTACAACGTAATGATTTCCTCCATGCAGCGATGATCGTGTCTCTGGAGCTCGATTTCAGACTTAATCGTGGAACAATGCCACTCAACGAAGCCGGTCATACCGAGTACACTTCAGAAAGGTTATTTCAAGCTCTTTACAATGCGTCTCGTGCATGGAATGAGTCGGATGACGATTCGAAGCAACTGATCCAAGCTCGTCATATATTGTCAACAATGCTCAGCAAGTTCGCGCCTTTATTCACAAAAGTCGCGTATCAGGAATTTGCACGAACTGAATATGGTGGAAGTCAGACGGCCGTGATTGAGAGTCGGAAGCCCCAAATCGCGCGACCAGGTAATTCACCCTCAGCCCTTTTTGTCTCAACACCGACGAACCCATAAGGCTAACCTCTATAGAATGTCCACTGGAGGCGGTTCATGCTCTCTTCGTACCGACTAGCCTCGATGTAGAGGTGAATGCTATCGATAATATGATCAATTCGCAGGATGTGATAGATTGGGTAAGTCCTGATGGGCAAATCTTGCTTGAAACCCCCACTGAACAGCGATACAGTGGCAGGTACCCACTATACGACTTCTGCTAATACTTCCTCAGGAGCTTTGGGAATTGCATTTGCGAAACATATCGGAAGGTCAGGATGCATGATGTGTTGACGTGTCGACGGCAGCCAGACAGATCTTCTCTCGAAGTGCATGTTGATCGCCTGATGCTATTCCTATTGTTGTTCATCTACGATACTTTGCAGCAATGCTGTTATTATATAAACCATCTTATCTCAGATCCCTGGCCCAGAATCCAAACACTCTCGCTTGTTAATTCACTGGTACACAACGTCGGCAGAATAGCTCTTTACAGCAGGTTGAAACCATGCATACTTGCTGTTGTCCGTGCATTACCTCAATGATCGAACGCAAATCCGTGGTCCCTCAGCTGACGATCCGCCAAGTCCCACAACATGTCTGCAGTCTTTGGGTCACTGGTTAATTTCTCTGCTCGATGGTTCAGCTTTCCGACAGGACCATAAAATTTACCGCCATGATCCGTGACCAAAGGACTAGTGGCGACAAACAGAGAATTACGTGCACCCTCTTCGACAGTGGATGTAGGCGTCAGTCTCATGGTCACGCGTGTTATCGTGCCTAGGAAGCTTGTATCATGAGCTTGAAGGCCTGTTTTGATCACGCCTGGATGGAGAGAGTATGCTGCGATACCGTACTTGTCGTATCTGGTGTTGATCGCCTTTGCTGCGATGATACTCGCTTTCTTGCAATGACTGTACCGCCTCCTAAGTCGTATCAGTACAAAATCTTTAGGACAACAACAGATCCATCCGCTGCCTTTGGTTGAGATTATACAGATGGTTGACTTACCACGGAGCTAGACTTCCGGTCACACCTGACAAATTGGTATCGTCATGTTGTATGGTGTCAGGTCCCATGAAGAGAGCAGCATCGCTAGACACGTTCACGATCCGAACTCCAGCCCGTGCACTCCCTCTCTGCTGTGCAGTCCGTCGCATTATCGGCAAAAGACTGAGTGTGAAGGCATGATGAGCAAGGAAGCAGGTCTGCCATTGAACCTCATGTCCATCTTTCGTATGCTCATACGGACAAGCCATGATCTGTGAAGGACATTAGCACTATATTCTCTATCTTCGGCGATGTCATACTCCGGCGTTGTTGATCAGGATGTCCAGTCGCGTCTCCCTTCTCTCAAACTCTGCTGCTGCTGCTTTCACACTGTTGAGATCTTGCAAGTCCAGCTTGAGAAAGTGAACATCCACTGAGGGTTGTATTCGTCGCATTTTTGCGATCGCCTCCATTACCCTAGCTTCGGAGCGACTTGCGATATAGACGCGGGCATCATGGCGCGCAAGTTGGAGGGCTGTTTCGTAGCCAATACCAGCATTGCCTGTTCAATTTAATTTCCTGTCAGCAAAGGTTCTTATCTAGTAGAGTACGGCCAGTCCAGGCATATGAGACTTACCACCAGTTACGATCACCACATAGCCACGAAGAGGAGGAATATTTGCAGCGGTGAATCGTTCGGCCTCACAGGTCATCGTTGATATGAATATGGAGACGCTGTTTATCGAATGAACTTTGCTTCCACAGCGAGAAGCTCTTCGAGGCGATAGCGACAGGCTGAATGCAGTATAAATGCTGTCAAACACTGCATTCTACCTCAACAGAGGTAATCACTTTGCTCCCACGAATGACCACATTATCTCCTCGGAGGCGCTTGCTGTGCAACCCGATGCTAAGAGCGTCTTGGACTCACGACCTTCGTGCGTATCAGGCCGCGTATCTCCCAGCTGGAACTGTGCATTTGCGAATGCGAGGATCGCTAGACTCAGTGAGGCTATCCTACGTCGGCTGGTTGATGTGGCCCGCCAATCAAGAATGCTCCATGGAGATGTCCTTGATGTCCTCGGAGTCGGAGTTAAGGACTGTGACTCCACATCTACGACAGCTCGTGGATGAACACCTGAGCTCTGGAATAACGATACGTTTTGATGCTAAATCAACCAGAATTTCAATTGCGGAGACAACCAGGGTCCATCGAAAATGAGTTCTCATTTTCTGGAGATTGAAGCACACTGAAATCTTCATGCCGGGGACATCCCATGAGCCAAGTACTGTGATCCACTCCGTACTACGGCTCTGGGACGAGGTGCGTCGAACAAAGAACCACTGAAAGATGTGAAGAAAAACTTCAAGGACCACTGTCTCGAATACTGTCTACGTATGTATGAAGTTGGATATGGTAAATAACGTGGTGAAGACCACAATATATCGCGTCCCGCTGACCCCTTTGTTGCGAAAGTCATGCAACACTCTTCTGGCTATCAACCCTGACCGCCAGAAGCTGACCAAAGGGAGCCGCTCACCATCGTCGCTGCATTCTCAGCCAAGCCTACATAGACAGGAGCCAACTCAACCGGCTGAATGACTCTTCCATATGGGGTTGCTTCAACTATGTCTCGCATTGCCTCAGTAGTCATCCCTTGAGTTGACAAAAAATTTGTTAGAACCAGTGCAGGGGCAACTGCATTGACCCGGATCCCACGCGGAGCGAGTTGTGCAGCCAAGGCTCTGGACAGTGTGACAATGAACCCCTTCGTGGAAGCATAATCCACGAGAGCAGGGCCAGGACTTTGAAAGATGCCAGATGCTGTAAAAATGATACTAGATCCGGCAGGAAGAATACTTGCGGCCGCTTTTGACAGATAAAATGGGGCATAGATGTTTGTCTCGAGCGTCTGATTGAAGCTTTCCATCGAGTGCGTTCGTATATCGAAGGAGATGTTTGAGTAAGCGGCGTTATTGACTAGTATATCAAGACCTCCGAGTTCTTCAGCAGCTCTACTAACCAAATCGTAGCAGAAAGTCTCGTTTCGCAGATCTCCTGGAAGAGTAATGAGGCGTGACGGCGTGGATGATGAAATCACTGAAGCGACCTCCTGAGCATCCGGTTCTTCCACGTCAAGGTAGTTGATCGCCACGTTTGCACCTTCACGTGCAAATGCGATAGCCACCGCACGGCCAATACCCGAATCACCGCCTGTAATTAAAGCCCGCCTACCGGCTAAACGGCCAGTGCCAATATAGCTTTTTTCTCCGTGATCCGGACGTAGCTCGAAGTTGCTTAGCAAGCCCGGGAATGATTGAAGAGGTATAGTATAGTTGGCAGTGTATCTGTTCACTGGATCGATTGGTCCTTCAACAGTGGTTTTATTGCTTTGTGTAGCCACTTTTCATCCGTTAGCGATCCCGTAAGGTCAACAGAGATGTACCACCAACCTGGCGGGCATAGTCCAAGCAGTAGACACATGCCCATGGCAAGGAATGATGGAAGTCGAGGCATTGTGCCACACGACACGTCGGTCGATGTTGATCATAAATGTATGAATGACAGCTGAGTCGCTGCGGCAGAGAATGATTACTTTATACCGGCCAAGGGAGTTCGAGGGGCGACTTGTTGAGCAGTACTAATAACATAAGCCTCGGAGTGGTCTGTATGCCCGTCACCAGTGATCATCTTTCAGGTGATGTTTCTTCGCGTGTCAGACCATATCGCCGCACTCCACAAAGAGCGCCTGACTCCATGTCCTTGGCTGTGCTATTCGACCACGAGCGGGCGTGATCTTGGCTTGAGGACGGTCTCCGATCTCTCGAATGATGTATGGAGCACGACTTAGGCCTACTGCAGCGCGGTCAGTCGGGTGAACCATCTTTGCTCACAAGATCGTCTTGCACACTTTGAAATAGCAGATTATACGGGTATAAAGACATCCGCGGAGTTGAGTTTCCAATTTCTCAATGGGTCCTGCATCGTATCGTGCATACTTTGAGATGAGTTTCCCTGTACAAGGTCGAGGTATATTCAGGTAGTGTCCCTTGCTTGCCAAAATGCAACCAACAAGCCGTGGACTAAACACCTGATCTCGTTTCATTATAGGTAGGCGCTATGATGCCATGTCATTCAGTCCAAGTATCCAAAATCGGAGCGGATTCAATAAAATGTAAAAGAGGTTTTCCTGGGCAAGTGAGAAGCCAACAAGGCTAAATCATGCCAATTTTGGAAGGCTTATTTCATAATATCGCTGCCCGTCTCGTCCTCCATGGCAAGAATACCACCATCCTCAGCTGAAGAATATGTGTTTGACATTATCAGCGCTAAAAGCATGGAGAACTTAAACAGGGTCTAACACCCGAGAGTACGCAGCCAATAATTGTCTTCCACACGCCTTTGCTGCGACGGGAAGACCACAAGATCACAATTCGATGTGCTCACTGCCCGCACCAGCTAATATCCACTTAGTGAAGGAATCAAGCACGACAGGTGTGTAGTCAAATAGCTGTTGTGCATGACACTCTTTGGTGTGCTGCGGATCATAATGTGCTCGGCCAGGAATGCCCAATCCTTCCACAGCGTATTTTCGAGCCATAGATCCTGCATTGGATGGGGTTTCACATGCATTGAAAAGCCATTCTGTATAGCCAGTACCGGACTGGTCCCCAGATCCAATCACGCAAGAATCGCGCTCAGCCCCCATCTCTAGCCAATTAACTATAGGGGGGTGTGGTACCATCTTTGCGGCCTTCGTAAGGAATAACTCCATCAACCAGCCCGTATGATTCGAGGATCGGTCGCAGAAATGGACATGGAGCTGGATTGATGACTGGCTACTGGTAAGAGCACCGCGTCGGATTGGGGCATCCAGTGTACAAAGCTGCACTAGCCATCGTGAAGGCGTTGAACGTGCTACCATCGGGCGAGCATGCCAGCTTACCAACAAAGCCACCTCTGTTTGACTTACCAGAGGCGTATGTACGCAAGCTGTCGATACAGTAGTTGTTGTTCAAATGCTCCAGAAGATCAGAAGTGAATTGCAGGTCATTCACACCTGCGTCGTGGTAAGGTGCGCCTTGCCATGACCCCCCATAACCATTCGGGTACACGATCAAGTACTCGTCAGTATAGCTATCATAGCGTGAATTGTTGTGCTTTCATCATCGTTTCCACAGCGGCCGTGGTAGTCAACGATCAACGGCCACTGCTTGCTCTTGTCCGCGCCACAGGTCGATGGAACGTAAACGGCATAGTTTCTGGTGACAGCACCTGACGTGAGCTGGTTCTGAGTAAGGTTGTTGTTGTAGCCAGGCGATTGCTCCGGATAGTCGTCACAACCAAACCTGATTCCTGCTCTTACTCCGCCAGCATCAATGCTCAGCAACACAGCTGCTGTGTGGCGCAGAGACACCATTTTCTAACTGCCTTCTCTAAGCTGTAGCCAACTTGACTGGCTGGGAAGCGGAAGCACAGTCTTTGTGCTCGAGGTCGGAACGATTGGATCAGGGCTGCAGAGCTGGATAGAGGACGTCGTTTTGGCTGCAGATTGCGATTGATGCTGCATTCAGTCGGTAAACCACCCGGCAGCACATGCGCAAACAACAAAGCGAGGTTTGGCAATAACAGGAGCATGCGAGCGTTGAAGCACGGCTTAATTCAAACAATGTAGACAGCTGAATGGCTGGCTTCGTGTTGTTCAGCTGCAAAACTCAAATGTTCAGCTCGACGCAGCTAGCCAATTCGAGCAACCCTGTCTCAGCGGGACCACTCCTCGTGCATCAGAACAATCTGAAAGACAGGTCATGCTCTGAGCTATGGTACATGTGATGTCTGCAGAAACGAATCAGCAGGTAATACTGGCCAGGGGCGCGAATGTTTTATTTTTGAGCTCCAGGCTGTCTTTTAGCTGCGCACAGGTTCTTAGGCATCAGCTTTTTCGTCAGATTTGTGCGCGGTTGCACATTTATTGGCTGGGTCTTTCCTTTTCTTTTCCATTTGTGTGTGAGCAGCTGCAAATTTTTCAGGAACGAAGAGATGGCCTATAGTATCATGGAATTGTGACCTTCCCTTTGAGGTCACCGGGATTTCCCCACCAATCGTGTCTGCAACCAGAACACCGTATAAGGTTCAATAGCTTGCCCGTTGCAAATCTATAGGAGCAGTGCTGTGAGCTCTGTAAGACTAAGATGTCAAATGTGACGAAATCGTGGCTGTAGATTTCATAACGCCTACTCCATGCATTATGTCGTTCGCTATTGTATACTGGAATGTCGATGTTCGATCCAGCGTCGCAATCAGCCCTGCAAGCATAATCAGAGTGTCTCCCCTTGCTACATCAGCAAGCCTTTCGAGGAGACGGTTGACATATATATCGCTACTCGATCTGCCACAATTAAAGCGACCTGCACAAGGCGCGAAACAACCAAAGCTACGCCCCCTAATAGCTTGTTTTACTCTGCAGTTGATCGAGGACAAACAAGCAGAAGCGAGCAAAAATTAGCTTGCTTATGATTAGCGATAGACGTTTTTATCCTCTCTTCACCATCTTCTCGAGGAACGACGATCGCTCAAGCAGGGCTTACACTAAGAGTAACTTCCATCCTTTCTCAATCATGATGTCCATCCAGAAGACTTCAGGATCGTCGTGGTCGCTCAGTTCCCATGTCGCCAGGACAAGTTTTTCCACCATTCCGAGGGATCTGTATGGTAAGATTTCGCGAATCGCTCGTAAGCGCGTAAGTACTGTCGCACGAGCTTTGGCAACACACTGTGGCTCCGAAGCTTCACAGCTTGAGCTGTCGAGACCTGGCCAGAGAACTTCCTGTGGTGAGCATCCGCTAATTGTAATAAATTGATCCGAAGAATCTGTTATCGTGGAGGCCGATAGAGTTGTTCTTGCTAGCAAGGAACCTATGCTGGATCCACTACTTGCGTCCTCTTCATTGCAAGTTTGAACTGTAGTCGAGGCCGCCGTTGATCTCAATTCTCCAGCAATAATAATCAACAAAATCTGCTCGATGCTCCGCGTTCCAGAGTGCTGTGCATTTCGACTAAGAATTCCAAGGGCGTGGATCGCTAGGGCTGTCAACCAAAAGTCGTTTCTCTTTGCTGAGTTTTTGCTGTTGGCAGTATCCTTGTCAAGTTTCAGCCTTACATCCAAGAGGTCAGGGAACGCTCTGTACAATAGTATAAGGGACGAGAGACAATAGACCTCTGCCATGTTGATGAGATCCTGTATAGGGGTATTTGGGTCAGCTATATCAACAAAGCTGTCAGCTCTTAGAATGCCCATCGACAGGGCTTCTTCTTCTATCTTTCTGGCTTCCTGCAAAGCATCATAATCCTTTTGCAGTCTAGTCAACCTGGTGAAAGACTTCTTCTGAGATCTAAGTCTTTGTTCATACAAGAGGCAGCCCACCTTTCCGAGGAGTCTTTGCGACTCCGGGGATACACCGGTGAGTGGATGAGGAACTAACTTGCATTCTTGCGGGGATCTGTTACGTAGAGCGGCTTCGGACTCACTAATTGGGGGCTCGAGCAGACACTGTTCCGTTGTGTCCGTTATAAAAGCGAGTCCCATCCACCAGTAGATCAGCGACTGGAGAAAAAACTCCTGTTTGTCGCTTTGATGGGAATTAGAATTTGCCTTTCCGAAGGTGTGACGGTACAAGCGCACAGCCGCGTTATAATGGAATATGCCTAGGCTGTTTGACCCATCCCAATTAGCAGTAAGGCCAAACAAAATGACAACCATCAGGACGTCCTCAACCTTCTCATTCACGGACATATCTAGCTGTGCCACCTCTTTTTGTAAACGTTGCAGCATCTCAGTTTGTGCGTCTTGTACTAAAATAGCACTGCTGGTACTGGGTGTACCAGAGTCGAGAAAGGCTGCCGTGATATAGCGACAGAGCGAGAAAAACAAAACAGATTTCTTCACTCGTGATGTACTTACTGTACGAAACTGATCGTAATCGGAGTTGAAAGCGGTCCAGACCTTGCAAATCTTTTGCGTAAAGAAGTCAACCTGAACTTGTGGGTTTTTAAGTACAGTTTCCATCGGCGGCCACAGAGGCTGTCTAAAGATCCGGGAAGGGCGATCGGGGGCTATTGGTTGAAACCAACCAGACGATTCTGGCGAAGTGGGTTCATGTGTGCTTGGGAGCAGAAACTGGCCTTCTGCTTCATCTATAAAAGCTCTGGGCACCTCAGATACTTGGTCGATCTGAGGGGAGGCGGATAGAAAATGGCTGTCGTGTGCTGAAGCATTCAGAGCCTCTTCGTCTACTGCACGACGAGCTTCAAAATCGCACGAAGGTATAACGAGAGAGCCGTCAGAAGCAGTATCCTTTACCACATCTCGTCTTGCTAGCCTTTCCTCGTTGCAGGCATTTTTCTTCCTAAATGATGGGTGTGGATGTCTCTCGTGTTTGGTGGACCATTTCCAGCAAAGTACATACCCAGGACACTCGAGATTCTTCGAGGTACACTGTTTGCACGACGGCCTGGCTTCATTGCATTTAACCTACCACCTACATCAGCATCTTGAAGATGTTTTCGATTGCTTAGATTTACCCTTCGTTGCTTACATGTTCTGCATCCGGATCGCGATTTGGCGGTCTTTCCTATTGGAGGCATAGTCGTCCAACAGGAGATAAAGTCGTTAACAGTTGAGTCTTGCAGTAAATCTCAGAAAGAGTTATTGAATAGCGTACTATGCTATTGCGGTATTTCTGTTTTCCAATTTCGTGCATATCAACCAGTGTCGCGCATATTAAATACTGGTTGTCAACAGCAGTGTTATCGAGAAAGCAGACGACGCACGAGCGCAGCTGCGATAACGATTCTATGCGGGGCTAGACTTAGCCGAGCTAACCCCTCGCATGCTCCCAATCTTAAGTGCTGAGAACATTTAAAGAGATGCATACGTTAATTTACCAGACGATTTCGGTCGTGCAAACACTCCTGCAGAACGACTCCTCCTCTTCAATATTTGTACTGTTGGGGTTGCGTTTCGCCGGAGTAATCTCTCGTCCTAATGAGTTTTCCTTCTCCCGATGCTTGAGTAACGCATCCTTGACCAACGATTTAAAGAATATTACACCCTTCTCATTGTGCGGGTGCAGCGGTCCTGACACATAGGCTCCAGCATTGAGATTCTTTTGAGCGTTGTTGCAAAGATACTTGTCTTCGCCTTCAACCTCTTTGAAAAACCGATCTAGCTCTTGGAAATCTTCATCACTGCTGTGGATGTTGCGATATACCTCGTACTCCATCGAAACCCGATGCTCTGAGACAGGGACGACTCTCATGAGGTAAAAATAATGTTCTCTGGACATCGTCAGCTTCCACTCCCAGATCTTGATTCACTTTTCGCAGAAGTACTTACGTCATTGTCACAGCGGAGTTGGGAAAGTGGAAGGTAGGTACTACGTTGTCGCTAACATCATCCACATTGCCTTTGCTCTGAGCGTAGTGCTCGATGAAACCTCTGTTTGTCTTCACATCGTAGCTGTCCAAGTTGATGGTCTTCGCTACACCAGGGTGAGCTACTCCGCAATGATAGCACTAGGATACCATTCAGTAAGAGGTTGGGGCACTTTCCGAGTCTCTTACCTCGTTGTAATTGTCGATCAACGTTTTCCAGTTGTAGTCGCCATCCATTTGCCAACTGTGATCGTAACGATAATTCTTCATGTCAAATGACCGCAGCCTTTGCTGTTGGTCCACCTCGTGGAATGACTCGTCCCAGCTAACTTCGGGTACCTCTGCAGAGTCCAGGTTGATCCAGACCTGCCCCCTTGCGTCAATTTTGAGATGAACTCGATAGAGGCCATGTTGCGCCTTGTCAAACCCCTCAACGCTGTCGAACTTAGGTGCTTTGGCAAGATTACCACTCAAGCCGTACGACCAGCCTTCATGTGTTACTTTGCATTGCACCGAGATGAGGGGACTGTGCTTACCATGATATTTACAGGCGAGAATACTGGCAGTTCCCTCGTCTTGGAGGACAACCGGAAAAGCTCGATGGCGGCAGATGTTCAAAAATGCATTCAGTTGCCCTTGCCGGTCGCGGACGATGAAAAATGGGAAGCCTGCCACCGTGAACTTGGCGTACGCTCCTGGTCTTTGGAAGCGTAATTCATGAGTGATAAGCATCCATCGCCTGGCGAAGATGGCTCGACGTTCGAGTTCATAGATCCCTCGTGTGGAATACCAGGATGCTGGTAGCGTGCAATTAGTATTGGCGCCAGCGCTGATGGGCTTTGCCCCCGCTGCCTCGTGTCCGTTGGTCTTGATTGCGCCCATCGTGCTGCTTATAGTCCTTTAAACCGTGATAATCAGAGAACGTAGCTTCAAGGCATATGACTACTCCTTTTCTACGAAAGACAGCTGTTCCACCTTTATAGAAGTTACATTCATCGAGAATTATATGCATAATGCTGTAATCGGTGGATTAGAACATGACGATCGAGTTATACAAGGCAAAAGTGGGCTGTCCAAGCACCTTTTTTCCCGCATTAGCAATGGAGTCCATTTCATCTCGGCACCTCCTTGCGTCGAATTCAAATGCCAAAGAACACGATTGGCATGACGCTTGGACAACATAGATTGCATTATTTACTCCCAGCACATCTACATTATCGCTGATAGATTTGGTGTCGGAAGCAATTCCACGTAGATATTGATTCTAACCATATCGGGACAACAGTTGCGATTGGTCACCAGCCGAGCGCTAAGCTCCAATAGATTCCTGGCCGCATGATAGCTGAGGTACAGTACGTATTTAATTGGACGTTCGATACCCGGTCGAGTATGGGTGCCTGCAGTCAGAGCGGGCGGAAGTATCAGCTTTGATAGATAGAGGATCCTTCCATCAGACTATTATGAATGGCCTTACTCCTTTGTCCGCGTGTTATTCACTGAAACAACTACTGGAGTTGGATCGACCAGGTGTCCCGCCACTAATCAAGCTACTCAAGTATTGCTTGACTTTCAGTTACCAATCTAGGTGCAATATCATCGAACACAATACCGCGACAAATCCAAGAGTATGGATATATCTGATAATAGCAAGTGTATACGAAGCTGTAATTATTTGGTTAGTACTTTCGTTGAGTTTGACCATTCGGTTCGATTATATATCTACAGCTCCTACAATAGAGGTGGAAGCATAGCTAGCCCTGCGAAGCTACTGGCCTTCACCAATACAATTTACCCGTATGACACCATCTTATCTCTTCGCGTAATAACGCCTACCTTAATTGTTATGCGATACCTTGCGCTTGTGTAAAGTCCACAGGTGTGGAGCACTTATCAGTCGTCGCTGTCCACGCGGATACTGCCTGAACAGGGAGATTTGTGTATTTTGTACAGCGCTGTGTTCCGCTTCTGAGAATTTTACGTGGTAGCGCGTTGATAGTCATGCGACTCATCTTCTTGAAATACAGAAGCCTCTATCTACAATCTGCAGCATCAGTGTCCAATTATTCTTCCACCTCACTAACATACGTATACTATATTCTGTGTCCTGATCGTCGTTACTAGGACCTCGCTATGACTAAATCATGCGAAGGGTTCCTCTGGACAAATACTGGTCTCTCCCAAGGCCTTGACACTGAAGCAGCCATTTCGAGTTCGAAGGATATCAAATCCCACTATGATGTTATTGTTATTGGAGCTGGCTTTGCAGGACTCACATCCGCTCGAGAACTTTCACGTCACCACAATCTAAAGGTCTTGATTGTTGAGGGTCGAGACCGTATTGGCGGCCGCACATGGACGTCAAAGGCCCTTGGCGAAGAGTTTGAGATGGGTGGAACATGGGTAAGTCTACAAGTTCTCCTGGCGATGATTGATCATTCTAATGAGGTATTAAGTTGCACTGGAATCAACCACACGTCTATCATGAGCTGTACCGGCACAACCTCCATAAAAACCTGAAGACGACTGCGGGCACCTTTGCTGCGGAAAAGATATACTACCAACAAGCCAGAGCCCAAGTGAAACAGGTCGACGGCCTAGATCTTGATACACGCGTACAGAACGTCGCCGAGAAATTTTTCGAAATTGATGGTCACAACAGCAAGACGTTGATGCCATATCCGCACGATCCATTTCGAGAGCCGGCCCCCTGGAAAGACTATGACCATCTTACTGTACGCCAACGCCTTGATCAAATCGATCTCCCAGCTCTTGATAAAGAATATTTTGAAACTACGGTCAATGCATTTGGGAGCGCGCCTGGCAAGGATATCGGCTTCGTTGAAGTTCTACGATGGTATGTTCTAGGTGGCCATACCATGGTCAGAGTCTTCGAGGCAGCAGGCACCTACAAACTGGGTAAGGGAGGTATGACCACATTTGCTCGTGCAATACTGCAAGATGCAAAGTGCGACATCCTTCTGAACAACGTCGTCTCCGAGGTCCTCTCGAACCAACGCACGGGAGCGAGTACCGTGAAATTCCACAATGGGCAGCACACTGTGAGCGCCAAGGCAATCGTTTCAACCGTTCCTCTCAATTGTTTGAGCGATGTCAAGTTTACTCCTGAGCTTAGCGCCCTGAAACGTGAGGCTATCGCTCAAGGTCATATCAACAAGGGTGCCAAAATCCACTTCAAACTTGCTAGTACCGAGCCAGGGTGGTATGCCATGAGCAATGGATATGGTGATTCGCCTTACTGCTTCTCTTGGTCCGACCACAACGGCACCCAAGTGTCTGGCCCATCTGGAACCTATTGCATCGGATTTGGCTACAACGGGCACCTTGAAAATCCGCGAGACAATCTTACAATTATTGACCAATTCAAGCGGAATCAGCGACCAGACGCTGACGTCGAAGCGTATGTTACGCACGATTGGATGAATGACCCTTTGGCAAAAGGCGTCTGGTCTTGTTGGGGCAGCAACTCTATGACCAAGTACCAGCAGGAACTTCAGAAGTCACACAATCATGTCTTTTTTGCCAGCTCTGACTGGGCCGATGGTTGGAGAGGCTTCGTGGATGGTGCAATTGAGAGCGGGCTGAAGGCTGCGAATGATGTAGCAGCGCAGCTCCTCCCGCGTGTTATGGATTGTAATAGACAGAAGCTGTAATATGGGTCGGTGACATTAGACTGCAACATACAGCAGCTATAACAAACTGTTCATGCATCTGGTAGCTCTAAACTTCCGACGGGTCATGATCACACGATACATCTCGCTAAAATCGTATGTTAAAACGAATATCTTTCCTTTCAAATCGATTGATCCAGCGGCTAGGGACTGATCGAGGAATCGAGACCGTAGTGTGGAGTGCTTTCGGGATAGGTCCCGTAGTTAAACCTCAAGGTGGAGCTGTCTTACCCCAGCTTCTGCACTTCCTCACCTGTCACGGTAAGCGCACATTCTCGATGATAACAAGCTTGATTGCGCATCAGATATTGCGGGACGCGACCACCTTGGTTATCATGGTCATCACTAATTGCAGCGGAATGATTGGACTATGCAGAGCACTTCGCGTGTTGTGAATCTAGAAGATTATCGTTCTCTCGATGAGCCAGTGACTAGGACCATCTCTTATCAGCCAGTCTTGTACGCACCGCCTGATAATCTAATATCTTCCCATAAACGAAGGCGTATATCACTGAGCATGTACAAGATCTTAGGACAGGAGTCTATACATATATAAAGGGTTAAGTTCCACGAGGACTCGAGGCCATCTCCCACGGTTCAATCTCCAGCTTTATCTTTTCACCATTGTTCTTTTCCTCTCTCCAGGAGACGACGAGATAAGCCCTTGTGCAAGTATGTACACCGTTGCCCGACTTCATGACCATCAGCGCAAACCTGTCATCAATCCTTGCTCATTGTCTTTAGTCCGCAGTAAATGAATCATCTTGAACGAACTCACATGCTCGAGGAGCCCAAAATGGATTTGTACAAATCGAATACGACAACCTCCAAAGCTGTCACAGAGCACAATGGCGACGCTCTGGAAGGCCGCCAGCGCCAGATGGAAGTGTCCTTCAACCTGTGGAGTACTCTCGGCCTAGTCTATAGCATCACCGCCACTCCCGTCTCTATCGGAAGTTATCTGACTTTCAGTCTGGTCTTGGGGGGTGCTCCTTTCTTCATCTATGGTTACATATTTGCGGTCTGCTTCAATATCATCTTGTGCGTCGCGCTGGCGGAGGTCGCATCGATTTACCCGCACCCTAGTGGTGAGTACCAACTGCCAGGGCAGTTTAGCGACGAGCACAGTGGACTGACAAGCTCTATATAGGCCACATTTATTGGGTCGGCAGGCTGGCCCCGAAATCCTGGGCTGCACTCCTCAGTTATAGCACCGGCATCTTGACCTCAGCGGCGTGGTTCTTCTGGAATGCCGGAACTTACCTACTTACTAGCCAGATCCTGCTCGCTATGGTCATGGTGCTCTATCCCAATAGGTACACTACGTACCCAGCATGGCACGTCGTGCTGCTCGCATTCGCGGAAGGGCTGTTGGCCATCCTCTTGAATATTCCCTTTTTCAAGACCTTGCCCTCTATGTTCAAGTGCATGGTTGTGTTGACCAATACCGGAATCCTCTTCCTCGCCGTCAGCTTGCTGGTTCGAGCTGAACCTAAGCAGACTGCGCACTCTGTGTTTGTTGAAGTTGTCAACCAGTCCGGCTGGCCGTCGGTCGGCGTTGTGTTTTTCCTCGGACTTCTGCCTGGCACAACAGCGATTAACGGCTTCGACTCAGCCTCACATTTAGTAGAGGAGATGTCAGACCCAGCACGTCAGGTTCCGCAGGTCATGATTGGTAATGCATTACTCTCTGGTTCTTTGGGTCTGCCGATGGCAATCATCTTCTGCTTCTGTATCACGCACTCGGAGAATCTCCTGGCACCTGTAGGTGGAGTAACGATTGTCCAACTCTTCCATGACGCTTTGAGAAGCAAAGCGCTCTTTACTATAGCCAGCCTGCTGTACGTCCTTGTCACTCTAGCTGGCGGCGTCGCCGTCACGACCACCGTCGGTCGCGTGTGGTGGTCCTTCTCCACGCATCGTGGCCTGCCATTTCATTCCTGGCTCGCCAAGATCCACAAAACCAAATACTGGGCTGTCCCCACCAACGCTATTTGTGCCTCGGCCTTCTTCTCCTGCCTGGTCCTGCTAGTCCAACTGGGCCCTAGTTTCGTGCTGGCGGGTATATTTAGCACGGCCAACATCTGCTTCTACTTGAGCTACGCGATCACATTGGCATGCTTCTTACAGAAGAAATGGACACAGGGGTTACCGCCCCACTATCTTGACCTCAAAGGCGTCTTGGGCGACGTTCTCGGTGTTGTCAGCATCATCTGGTGCCTGTTTGCCAGCGTGTGGCTCATGGTCCCGTACTACCTGCCTGTCACACCTCAATTGATGAATTGGTCGGTAGCGATCCTGGGCGTTGTTATTGTCTTGTCCAGCGTGGATTGGTTTGTGCGAGCGAGAAAAAGCTATATCATTCCATCGCTACTAATACTCTGAGATAAGCCACTAGTATGAGAAGAATGCCGAACAATTATATACCCAGGAGATATAGTCTCCAGTTGCTTTCATATCTAAATGGTGATTTCAGGATCTCACTGCAAATTCTATCAGGTACTGAAAGGAACTGTGGTAACACCACCTGTGGTTGCGGATATTGGAGTTGCATCTCAGATAAGGGCGATATTGGTAAAATGTTCTAATCTCTGATCAGGTTCTCCTCCACGCACGCTGAATGCGATTAATTGCCGATGCTGAGTACTGCGATTACCTGTCTGCATATTCATTGAATCCTCGGTTGCAGCGACGGTATAGGAAGTCTAGACTGAGGCCACTGTGCATCCGTGATGGAACCCTCGTGTGCAATGCTGCGAAATGAAGGTGAGTGATTAGGCCATCGAGGTGAACTTACGCGTGCTGAAAGTAAAGTCTCATCGAATCTGAGTTAAGAGACGTGGCGCATCATACCGGCTAGGAGCTGTACAGCAAACGTAACTGAAGGTTGGAAGAACGCCGGCGAATGTAAGAATATAACACTATGGGAAGCAAAGTCATTTGGCAAAGTCGAGCCTGGGCATTTGGCTTCCAGATGCACAGCAGTAGCCGTGAACGCACCAAGCAAGACACAAGTTAGTTTCAAGTGCTAAGAACAATTTTCACCAATTACCGCTTCCAGATATCGAATGCCTGACATACGGTACTGAATCAACGGAGACGCATCGTCCAGATAATCTTAAGATCGAATTTGACGATGTAGTTGTGCAAGAAAGCAGATACGAAGCCATGGCCGGTGGGTGCACCTCACAACCTCTTCTTTTAGCTTGAAGGCCCAACGAACGTAATTCAAGAGCTCGCCCTTCGGAGAAAGCGAGCGTTCTTTTGGGGAAGATCTATATCACAAGGCGATACGTCCTCGCAAGGTCTATCGGTGACCCTGCCTCCTCCTTGCTTTGCTGCATGATCAAGTCCTATGGCACGCGTTCTTCAGGCATTGTGCAGGCAGACCAGCAATTACAGTCATCTGAGGACCTGAAAACTCGTCAATACACGAAGTATACGGCAGACTATCTAGTGACGTGCGACAGGAACAGAAGCCCCACCCGTCGTACAGACAATAGACTGCCATGGTCCCGGAATCGTGGGAAACAGCACCTCCATCAACTTCAAAGGCGATATAACACAGTTATTTGGGAGCAGGGCTATCCATGGAGTCATTTATGTTGTCAATGACAAGGTGGTTGGAGGCTTCCGCCTCGAAGATAATGGCAAAGCCGGTTTTGTGATATTCAACAAAGCACTGGCCCGCACGAACTTTGAACCTGACTCGGTTACGGAGTGAAGCAGAAGATATCTTCTATATGGACGCGGGCCTCGAAGAAGAGATTGCCTTGGAGGTTGAGTCTGTTTTGTACATGTCCGCAGCAGCTTTGAACGCGGAGGGATACTCACATGAGGACAGCCGCGTATTTCTTGCTGGAGACGCAGCATATGTTATGCCACCAACAGGAGGGATAGGCGGCAATACTGGAATCCAGGTAAATTGCAGACTTGCCGACTGCCTGCTCGATTCTGAATGTATTAGGATGTATGGAACTTAGCTTAGAAGCTCGCCTACGTCTTGAAAGGCCAAGCTGGGCCGTCCTTTATGGAGACGCACAACCAGGAGAGACAACCTGTTGTCGATCGCAGTGTGCAGCAGGCTTATTCACGACTAGTCAATAAAACCTTCAAAGACAAGTCAGTCCCTCACGAGCAGGAACTTCCAGATGATACCTGCGAACTAGGCTACCGCTACATTAGCGGCGCACTCATTCAGCCGGATGTCGAAGGCATATTTGAACAGTTTTGAAGATCCCCATCATGCTCTGGTTTTACCAGGCTCAAGAATGCCTCACGTTCAATTGTTTGCCTCTCCCAAGCGCAACGTCAGCTTGTCAACGCTGGACCTGATGAAGCCAAGAACAAGATCTGATGTCGATTTGCCTCGAATTTGGTACCATGAGATATAGTAGTGGTTCTAGACAGGTCATTGGAAGAGCCGAGGGCGGGAGAAAAGAACGGTGAATGGGTACTTCAAATGGGTTGTTCTTGTCCATCCAAGGCCGTGAGAAGTCTTGCTCGCTAATCGAATAGTGTCTGATCACTTATCCTTTGCCTGAGCTTCCGCACCACTGGCAAATACTGCCCGACCAACTAGAGTAAGCCATGGCCCGATAGCATTGGAAATAACCAGTTCGGGTATATCGAACGGTTGTGGTTTAGGGTCATCAAAGCTCATCCAAGCACCTCACTTCATCCGCAGAAAGCTCATTTGTGTCAAGCATCGCGTTCCTGAAAGTCTGTTCGCTAACTCATTCTCGACTTTGGAGACGACGTTCGTACCGGAATATTTCGTTATCCACTACCTCGTTTTGTCGAAGATATTCGCCAATGCAAGTATGTCAACGTAGAAATGGTAAAGTAGTCCCTTCTTGAAGTCGGTGCTTGACGAGATTCTAAGACCAACAGTTCAATGTCTCATCATATCAGTAGTATGCATTTCAAGTTGTGGCATCGACGGTCACCTCATAACGAGTGACTTTCATATGGCTAGTGTTTCTGTCCCCCCTCCCCCCGGCGGCGCAGTCTTCTGCAGCCGTTACAAAGATTTTTGGTGTACTGACTCGAGGGGAAAATTACTATCATACTGTTGAAAGAGAGGTGCTAGATTTTCTGCTTTTTGGAAGCCAACTTGGAAACACCCGTCTTATGACAAAATTGGGCCATGCAGAATAGCTGAATTAGCTCCTATCATAGAGTTTTTGTCTCCAAGCTGATTCACGAATGCAGAGGCCGCACCAGATGCAAGATCCGACCGTGACCTGGGGCACCGGGAAGGTTTTCGACATGTAGTGCTATTGAGGCACACTAAGTGTTTCGGCCATAATCACACGAAACTAACGCAGTCGTGGCACGTCAAGCAAACGCGAAGGAAGAAACAAATGTTGAGGGATAGGAAGGAAGAGTACTGGCATACTGTTCCGGAATATGCTCTGAGCCAGATGTCCCCGAAAACTTCCGAACTGCCTCACTTATCGATAAGCTCCTTTCCCCTGCCCCGCTCTCAGACTGATCAATGTAAACAAAACCAAGTCTTTGACGCAGAGGGCTAGATCACAGCAACACCTATAGATCTAAGTCGATACATCGCCTAGGTTTTGCTGCCTTTAAAAGCATCTCAACAGTCTTTCTCAAGCTTTTCCGCACCGCTTCACAGACTATAGCATCCTCGCTCGAACAATCGCCAACATGGGCCGCAAATTCTTCGTCGGAGGCAACTTCAAGATGTTTGTCTGGCTAGCATGAGCGAGTACAACAGCTGCTAACCTTTACATTCAAGGAACGGAACTATCAATTCCATCAAGGAAATCGTTCATAATCTATCCTCGGCCAAACTGGACTCCAATACTGAAGTGTAGGTGTCCACTATATTTCAACCGTACTCAGACGGGTAACTGATTTCTTATAGTGTGATTGCTCCACCAGCTCTCTACCTCCTCCTTACCCGCGAACATCTCGCTGCCGGTATCGAAGTTGCTGCTCAAAATGTTTTCGACAAGCCCAACGGAGCATTCACCGGAGAAATCTCCGTTTCTCAGCTGAAAGATAGCAATATTACTTGGACAATCCTTGGGCACAGCGAGCGCCGCACGATTCTGCAAGAATCAGACGACTTCGTCGCAACGAAAACCAAGTCCGCCCTCGATGGTGGCATTGGTGTAATCCTCTGCTGCGGTGAAAGCCTTGAGCAACGCGAAGCAAACGACACAATCAATGTGGTCACAAAGCAGCTAGAAGCTGTGAACAAGGTCATCGGAAAGGATGGCTGGAAGAACGTGGTGATTGCATACGAGCCTATCTGGGCCATTGGAACGGGCAAGGTAGCGACGACAGAACAGGCGCAGGAAGTTCACGCTGCCCTTCGAAAGTGGCTGAAAGATGGAGTTGGTGAAGAGGCAGCCGAAAATACACGAATTATCTATGGTGGCAGCGTGAGTGAGAAGAATTGCAAAGAACTGAGCAAGCAGTCCGATATTGATGGTTTCCTGGTTGGAGGAGCCAGCTTGAAGCCTGCTTTCGTGGATATCATCAATTGCCAAGCATAGATGAGGTCAAGCTCGTGGTTAGGTGTGAAGTTACCGATGATCGTGGACGAGCTATAGCTAAACAAAGACATTGACTGTTCATATTAGACTGATCGAGTCTGCTTGCTCTGTTACTGTTTACCAACTGAGACCTCAGCTTCCAGAGAAAAGACGAAAAAGAGCCTGGTAACCATGTCACATATCAGTAAGCAGTCCCTGATCTTACTCAGAAGTGAAATATTGTCATTGGCCCTTTTCTTTTTGGCCCCAACTGCTTTGTCGATCTGACGCCAAGGTTGATGATGGCAAATAAGAGATTAGATGCTGCAATAATCATCAGGGATGAAGTCCGAAAGTCATCAAAGAGAATATTTGTTACGCAAAAATTTCAAGTCTTATCAGTCCGTAGAGGGTTAACAAGCATTAAGCTTAAAGCAGCATCAGCGAAGTTTGTGCCATTCATGCGGTTGTACAAGACAGTTTACTCCCTAATCCTCTTCGCGTCTTTCGCCTAAACTTCTTGCTCTACAGTATCCGTCACGTTGAGGAGAAGGTCTACGTCTCACAAAGAATATAGAACCTTGCATTTGAGTCCACCACGTGTCGAAAATTTTCGAATCGAAGATAGTTGTGTTCATTGACAGGAGAACGCCTGAGCGCATAGCAGCATGGTTGTTGTGAATACTAAACATTTCCGTAAAGTTCCGTAGAGATTTCTACTCAAAGTCTTTGTTCTGGTTGCAGTTTGTTTAGTTTGATCGAAGGGTATCGTAAATTAAAGGTCGTAATCTATATTCTATATCTAAGCAAGAAATTCAACTTCACTCATCCTCTATCAATAGACCCAGATCACAGATACCACGATCCAACGAAACATACAATAGAATAGACAAAAATTGAAACAGACAGATGATCGCTTGGTCTACCAAGAGGTGTAAACTCTGTACCCTTGCGAGCCTTGTCCGTAGGATAGTACACGCTGGTACCCTTGTCGAGAGTCAAGTGCTCCTCTCTCGGTTCGTCTTTGGGCGGGCACAGCATATAACCCACCGGCGTCCACATAGACCATAGAACAACCAACCAAATCAAGGGTGGCCATCCAATAGTGGTAAGTATATAGAATAGCCATCGTATCTCTGGTTTCTCGTTCGTGAAGTCTGTGGTCTGCCAGACTGATCGAATCTCGTCGCGCAGATCAGTGGCACGCATGACATCCAGTACGAAGCCAAAGAGGAAGGCGAAGATGATCAGGACATGGAACCAAAGCATGCCTTCGAGGATGTATGCCTTGATTCTAGGGAATAGCGGCCCACCGTGGTCTTTGCCTCTTTCTTTTAGGGTCGCTATGCCTGGACCTGAGGTTTTCCAGAATCGACTTGCGCTGGCGTGAGACCGTTTGGTCAAGAGTGCCGGGACGATAGAGGTGGCAAAGACTATCTCCGTGTTAGAGCAAGACATACAACCGATAGGAATACGTACATGGTATTTGCCAGAAATCAGATTCTGATGTCTTGAAAGCTGTGCGGTAGTCGGCAATAAGTAACAAGCTGCACTTGTGTATGAAGTCGGCGAAAACACTTAGGCAAGCGAAGCGCAAGAGCCAGATAAGTTGGACTTTTTGTTGGTATATGATAGCAGGTGCACCGGAAAGAAGCAAGGCTGCCAGACCAGGAAATGCGACGATATTTACAACGTTTGTCCAGGCGTTGAGGTCAATCGCCAGTCCAACGAAACGTTGCAGTGGCTGCAATTTCGCGTTCAAGGGGCCAAAGCATCGAAACTTCATTTTCAGGCCAAGTTGAATATTGCCTAAGCTCCACCTGTTGTTGTTGTGTCAGAAGAAATCTGTAAGGAAAGCACTAGGCCTACCTCGTCCTTTGCTTCAAATGTCCAAGGAGCGTGTCAGGCTGTATGCCGTGTTGAATCACTTCATGAAGCGATAGCACTTCCCAACCAGCTCCTTGTAACATCGCCGAGCACGTTGTGTCCTCACTTACAACATCCTCTGGGAATCCCCCAACAGAATCAAGGGCTTCTCGACGCACGACCCATCCCGTACCAGTACATATACCAAACCCAAGGCAGGTCTGTAAAGTGTCATCGATATGAAATATGGTGTCCAAATCTTCGCGTAGCGGATCGTTCCTGGGAATGTTGTAGAAGTTCTGCATGTGTTATACAAAAATGTTTGTCTTTCGCAATTTCTTTTTCTTACCTGCGGAAAACAAGTCATACCGACCTTCTTGTTCTGGAGAAAATGTGGTATAGCTGTTCGTAGCCAGTGTCTACAAACACAAATCAGGTAAATCCAAGATCAGAAGCGCATCCATAACGTACTTGTCAACGATCATGTCTGCATCGATACCCGCCACTAACTCCGCAGGTGGGCCTGGTAGCATAGTGTCGCTGAAAACTAGGCCACAATTGATGTTGCCAGCCTTGAAATTCGGTATTGGAGGCTTGGGTCGTGCTGTATAATATGTGAACGGATATTCTTCTTTGACGATCTGCATCGCATTCTCCAGTTCTTTTGAGCGACCATCGTCAAGCAGGAATATCCTCAAACACTCTGTTGGGTAGTCCAATGAGCAAGCAGCTCGGACAGTATTGATCACCACATCTACAGGCTCGTTGCAGCAGGGAATATAGACGTCGACTGACGGTACCTTAGACCCCGTCACATACAGCTTCAGCCTAGACTTTGGTTTTTGAAAGACAAGACACCTCACTCCCAATGTAAGCACATTCGGGCCTAGAAGGACCATAGTGTTAGTGTCAGAGGATTTGTATGTTAGGCGTGACCACGAACGGGTCTAGGTATCATACCGACAATCAGCAATTCAATGCTATAAAATATCCACGCCCAGGCGAACTTTGCATGCCATTGTGAGGTTGCGAGCACCAAAAAGTATACTCGTACCACCAAGTACGTTAATAAGCATAGCACGGATGCGAACGCAGTCAAAGGAATAAGTGGCCATAGTCGGAGACTGGCAGGTTGCTTTGTTGTTGACACTCTTATGCTAGTCAAAGAGCATTCCGAATCCTGTTGACCGGCGAGATACTTTGGGTGTGGCAATATCGTAGTGGTGCTAGTAGCTAGAGAGTATGTAGAACCTTGTTGATCAGTGAGGTCTCCCAAATACATTTTCCGACGAGCTTGACCAGCGTTGATAATAGATTCGAGCTATTGTTGCCAGCAACGATGTTCATATGCGACGATGTTTCTCTAAGCAACTAAATTGTTGAGACATGATATTTTTAGTTCTTGCGGCGAAAGTGATGTATCAAATACTTTCAATGTTCAGACATGGGTGATTACTGTAACCTGATGACATTCAGTTTCAGCGAGACCTAATGATTTCGACTGCTACCCGGTACTTCAACCACCAGTTCAACCTTTTTGCGAGATGGATCTGCGCGCGTAACTTCTTTTCTGGACGATGTGCGAGAAGGCATGTACTTTTTGATTGTATGCTGGAGATCACAGAACAGATGTAGACGCGCCAGCTGCAGGCGTGGTCTGAGTTTGTCAAGTCCAACCGACACATCTTCATGTTTGTAAGAGACTATCAGTCAAGCGGGAATTTGACGCTTCGATATGTAACAACGAACCACTTCAGCAATCGGCATCAACATCTCAAGTGAAGAAACGATCTGCAAATATTGTCATGCAGGTCGAATTCGAAAATCGACCCAATTTCCACTTGCCGCTCGCTGCGGATAATGGTTCATGCATCTCGAAACTACTTTAGGGGCTGGTCCTGACGCTAAGCTTTTTTGGAGGCTCATGCACAAGCATAAAATAATCCTGGACGCCACCAGCTTTGCTGCCGGCAAAGAATCCGTTCCTTGGATACGTAGATCTAGCGTGACTCCTCCGAGATCCGGGTCGAAACATAGTGGAACCTGTTCGCATTCACAAACGCGAGATCACTGACAAGCTGCATACGGTCCACTCAGAGCCAGAAACAAGTGACTGGGACTCACTCCATCTGATTTCGTTGTTCCTATGCTCCAATATGACTGATCTGCCGGCAATCATCTGAGGTGTGCCATATCTTCGAATTAGTTCATGGGCTGTTGTGGAGCACCGTGGTCGATCAGATCCCCTATAGCTTCCTCACCTTCAACACTGAAAAGGAGGTATGTTGCAAGAGAAGTTCCAGGCAAGTTGCTCGTCGTGATCTCTCAATTCCTCCAGTTATATAAGCTCAACACCACCCATCGCGAGACGTGTATCGAGATTATAAACTGTCCGACGTTGTATCAGATCGAGTACACATTACTTAGTACATACGGTACCTTCTCAACGGATTCTTGCGGTTCACACAGCTTTTCATCAGTATGAGAGTCATAGCCCTATTCAGCCTTTGCCTGATGGCCCTCGGAATCAGCGCCGCTCCGACTAGCAATGTAAGTCCTTTGTCTAGGACGTATTGAACAGCTACTGGATACTAACACAGGTCAGATCGCTGCTCTGTCTCGCAGACAAGGTTCCAGTACGGACAGCACTGTCGCGGGTGCCAACACAATTGTTGGAACGACATTTGCTGGTGCACAGAACGTTGGTTCCAACTCACTTAGTGAGACTGGCGACCTTGCTTCTGCACCATTGACTACTGGATGATTTGCCGCTCGAGTTGGACGATGAAGTGGGTTTGATGCACGACTGTCGGAGGGGCAAGCTTTTCATAACTCATGGATTGGTTGTCGAGTTGAGACAAAGAGGCTAGCAGGATTGTGCTTGGTGTCGATTTGGATGAGCTACAACACTAAGATATCAAGTTACAACCATAATCGCAATCGATACATACCATTCCGTATCTGTACCATGATTTAGGTCATGTCAGCAGCAGAAATTCTAAATACACACATTTGGTTCGGCAAGGCAATGGAATGTAGAGGATTTGAGCACAGATAGTTAAGGCCCGATTAATTGCAAACTGATTGGAGCATTCACCATGGATCTGTCTTCACCCTGTTTTAATCAATTCCTCTTCGTTGTGCTTGACGTAGCTTTGCGTGCAGTGATGCACAAGCCCAGTTTATGATGAGATCTCCCAGGTTGACCTTTGTGGTAACGTCTTGTACAATTCTGTTCTAGCCTGTTGACCAGGTTGTTGTAGAAAGAGCCTTAACTTAGAAGTGTAGTTCTCGATGGCGTGTCATTCAGAGTGATGTATTGAAAACCTATCCTGGATTGCGCCGGAGGGCCCTGACTGAGAACACCTTAATTGATTGGGCAGTTAGTATGATTCTAGGAAACAGCTGGAGTATACAATAGGATCTTTTTGCAGGCCATAAGAGACATGATTGGACATGCTAGCAGGTTTGTTTCGGAATCCCTGAGTTGGTAAATTTAAGCCAGCATCAACTCGTTGTCATTCACCACAGCCTCAGCTCCTGCATGAGTTTCTGCACTTCCGTCTTCGCATATCTCTCACGTTCTTGTTTCGATAGATGATTGCCAGCGTCCCTGATCTCAGCAGCTCGATTCATAAGTGTGACCATCTGATCGACCTGGAATTCTTCGTCACTTTCTGCTTCTTCGCCAATCTTCAAGTTGCTTTGCTTTTCCAAGGCGAAGTGCAGGCCCATAATTTCGCGCTGGAACTCGTCGGATTGTGTTGAAATACCATCTTTACAAGATGGATCAATCCGTGGCTTATAGCTGGGCTGAGAGAAATCATCAAAGTTGTTGGTCGAAGCGTGTTCGTAGTCAAACTCAGGATGCGCCGATACAGCCCAGTTTGTTTGCTCCAAGACCTCATGTACTCGAGACATACCTGTCTTCTCGCCAAAGTCATTGAGAGATGCTGTAGGTTCGGTGACTGGGTCTGTGCTGGAAGGAGCTGTGTTAGGTGGCTTCGTTAGTGGTCGCCATGGGATTACTTCCCATCCGAAGATATCGTTTTCTATCAAGCACGTGTCCTCCAAGCTTTGAGCGAACGGCTCCGGATCAGATTGGTACTGGTGAACTTGTCGCCCTTTTTCTGACGTGGTGGTCATGTCTTGGACTACAATGACTGTGGCAAGGTTGCGGCCTGACTCGTCTTCAATTGTGTCACGCAGCGAATTGACGCAGGTCAGATACCGTTCGTACATCCTGAGCTCTCCCTCCTCCGTCTTATGTGCGGAGAATGAGCCTTGACTATAGGGTAATATCACGATGACACCACCTATGACATCCCGCACTTCCCGTGCTTCATCTGATAGCATATTGTTGCTCCATTCGGCTAGATCTGGACCAATATCTCTAGCAGACCCTACTTGAGGCAATTCGTCGCACCATAAAGTCAGTCGTGATGAATAATACTTGTTGCGAATCGTAAGCGGTTCGTGAGTGGTATATCCTGCAAAGGAGGTTAGGTCTTGAGAAGGTGCAACACCTGTCAGTTCTTCCAGAAAGATTGAAAAGAGCGCCGTTGTATCATACGGAGCAGTTGGATGGGTCACTCCCGATTCATCATCAGTTGATCTCACTGTGGACAAGGGCGCGACGATCAGGAGTCGCAGGTCCGACGTCTTGATCGTGCTCGAGTCCGCCATTACGTTCGCAGCAGTCTGCAAGCACTCAGACAATGATATGCCAGCTATTGGTGAGAACAAATCAGTGCCGTCAATTTCGAAAATCAACGTTGCAGGCTTGATGACGATTTTAAGCCTTACTGTTGATGGAGAGAAGTCATGAAAAACTTCGGATGCAGGACAAGTCGGAGAGGATGAGTTCGGCACAAATTTATTCCACAATTTTCAGGCAGGCTTCTTCGGTATTACCACATTATGCACGAGCATTCGACATCGTACTCTTCGAAAAGGGAACTGCCACTACTCGCAACCTCGAGTGCCGGACAATTTCCTTTCTACAGCGCCTCACTCTGTATCTGCCACTTTGATTGGAGACATCCCTCATCGAAACATCCTTGACTTAGTGCTATGACTCGTGTTCCCGTTGTAGCCTATGCACCGTTGGTCAAACGTTGCGATCTTAGTCTTCACAACCCAAGCCCATGTTCAACCTCTCCTACCAGCCCTTGCTCTATTGACAGTGGCGCGACCTCTAGCGAGACCGACACCTCGTCCTCTTGTCCCTCTACTCCTAAACATGGGCGCATTTCTCAGCATATCAGGCACAATGAAAAAGCGTACATGACTTCCGCGTATATAGATCTGGTCCAGATGTGACACCCGTCCATCTCTTGCTGTTTGCTGTACATCTTTCAACTGTACGTTCATGTTATCTTCAGCTTCTAACAGTTTGCCTCGGTACACTTGGCCCGATGACAGTTCAAGAGTGACAACATGACCCTGTGGAAATTCAGCGTGTGCGATAGTGTGGGAGGAGAGGTACACGTACCTGTGCTTCGTTGAGGAGTTTGATCGGTATGCCAATTGTAGAGGTGAGTTTTCCCATTGTAACGACGTGAGAGGCTTTCGCAGTAGGTGGCACGTGTATTCCACCTGACAGTCGACTTTCGATGCGTTGGTGTAGGCTAGTGAGATCTTTCTACAACCAGCGCCGAGTTTTGAGGATGACTTGTGCTGTCACAAACGTGAACTGCTCGGAAATTCATTACTTGCGCTGCAGCCTTGCCAGTGAATTCAGGCATCAATTCAGCTCACTGCAACTCGCCGCAACTTCCTCATTGGGGCAGTCGCGACCATAGCATTGTTCATGCCTTCTCCTTCCCACTGAAGCATGATAGGTGGACAATTTCAACTTCGTGCCACTGGTATGCCGCTCCTCAGTAATGTTCCTGCTTTACGCTTGGCTCTAGCGTATACAATCCACGATCCAGCATCTCTCCTTCCTCATGCGACCGTTCCGAATTTCACCTGCTTGCCCGTGCCGATTTCCTCAGGTCTTCCAACTTTGGCCTCTGGCAGGAAGCCTACTATTCGTGCTCTCGTGCTTGACAAAGACGGTACACTTTGCCCCCCAGAAACCTCGACTATTCATCCTGCATACTTGGCAAAGTTGGAGAAGCTCAAAGCAAGCCCCGAATTTGCTGAAAATAGATCTAGCATTCTCATTGTCTCGAATACAGCTGGTAGCACACCTCGACCTGATCACGAAGCCGAAGCCGTTCTCCTCGAAAAGGAGCTGGGTGTTCCCGTCCTGCGCCAGCAGCCAGGAAGGAAGAAGCCGCTTTGTGGATCGGATGTGTTGGCCTTCTTCGGAGAGCATGGCGTAACTGAGAACCCCGCTGAGATCGCGTTTGTCGGAGACCGACTGGCTACGGATGTGCTCGTTGCAAAAGAGCTTGGAAGTTGGAGTTACTGGTGCAGCGATGGATGGAGAGACCCATCTGCTCCAGATAGAGATTATAGGGGTATATTCAGCAAGATTGAGGCAAGCTTCGAAAGATTGACGAGAGAAAGATTTAGGAAGATGGCTCCATTCCCCAAACGATTGCCCGAAGGCTGACGAGCTCTGTAATGTCGACCGATACCGACGTCCGCGAAGACGCCAAATCTATCTTGGTCATGCCGCGATCGATCAATTCTCGGCATTCCAAGGACTACATCAGGCAGATGAAGATGAACTGTTAGAAGGTTGAGATATGTGTTTTATGCGCATCACTGGAGTCAGTAGCACCGGCCAGGCCAGATTCTGGTATCCATTTATCTACCAGGTAGCTCTGAAAACTCCTTGCCTGAAGAGAAGACGTCGATCCGAATTGCTGAATGTTGTCCGGCTACAAGTATAGGATCACCTCCATCACAGTCCACTCAAGCCAGAACAGTTGCACACGCATACGGAAATATAGTTGATCTTGGCCACATGTTGCCGTCTCTGCTCGTGTGGGTCAGATGTTGCTATCTTTTGCGAACGTGGTAAACGACTGTGATCTTCAAAATCAGATTTTCCACATCGGCTAGACCCGAGTTGAGTCCTGCACTACTGACTGCTGGGAGGGAATGCATAGCATCTTCTGCGAGCAACACCTGCTTGCGTCAGTGAGACTTACCATCTCCTAGCTCAGAAGCTATGGACAATGGCTGAGAGCCTGAGGATTGATGTGCTTTCCCTTGACACACCTTTGTATTCGACGGCGTTGCTACTTGTTTCAACATCTGAAGAAGTGTCGATCGGAGTCGGAACCGCTAATTGGCATTACATTGTGGGGCAAATTGCTTGCGACGAGGAAGCCTGAAGCATGAAGGTATGAGTTGAGTAGGCGATGCAACATGCTCACCCTCGCGTACACAATGGGGTGCAGATTCGCTTTGGAACGGATTAACATTGTGAGTTTGTCTGTTTTGGTCAAAATTGTTTGCCAAGGATTGCTCATCAGCTTGTATGTGCCTTTCAAATCGACTCCTCAACACGCATCGGCGTTGCCGTTCTTTGTCAGATATTGCGAGACAGTGCTCGAAGGCTGGCTATGGCAATTGTGGATTATCCTCATTCGTACATCGAGCACCTCAGAATCAATCGGTCTATCCGGCAGAACAAACACGATTGTGCCTGAAAGACAGGTCAGAACGTTGACCCAGTCCACATACTTGCATTGGGTACTCAACGTTCTTGTGCGCTTCACACCAGGCCCAAACTGCCGACATGCCTTCTGCGATCGAGGTGACGAGGCATGTGCTTTGTGATCACTGAAGTGTTCTTAAAGATGTTCATTGTTCAGTGTTTGAAAACAAACATGACAAGAGAAATGCTTGAAACAGTGTTAGCGGTCAACCACTATAGATGGCTGCTGGCACATACATGAAACCGCTCACTTGTGGAACTAGACTTGGCTAGATTCAGATGACTTGTTCGATCAATTTACCATAGCAACCTCGATTTCTGGCCTCAAAATGTACATGATTCAATTTCGCAACCTGTACCGCAAGTCTCCGCCAGCTCGACGCAATCGACTACAGCAGGAGAGAACGGCCTCACAAGCACAAGAGGATGGTATGGCTACTGCTATCAGAACATAGAAGCGATTCAAAACGTGCTTAGTAATGGCGCATCTACACGTCTTGACAATGTCTCTCAGATCATGAACGCCAGCATTGAGCAGTATTTTTGTTTTGAAGCACCTGATAACTGCTGACGAAATTTGCAATCACGACTACACCACAGGACTATACTAGTCTCTTGGCCAAGACTTTGAGCTTGATTCATCGTTGCTGCGACTTGCCTCGAGGTTGAACCGAGCTGCGGTGAATTTGAACTCGACACGAAGGCACGAAAAATAACCTTGTGAAAACATCGCCGTCACTGGCAGAGCTGCGACGTCTGGTGTCATCGTTCATTCTTACGAGTGTTATCAGCCTCATGAACGATGCGACAGACCATACACCTATTCTATCACATGATCCGATGAAGCTGTACAAAGCTTTTGCTTATGAGTTCTATTTTTCAAATTCTCTCGATTCCCACAATGTTATTTTTATAGGAGAATTGCAGCCGACAAGATCTTGCACGAGCTGGTCCTATATTCAATACCAAGGTTGCACAGTCCACCAGCTCGAGTCGCTTGACTCAAAACAGCATGACTTCCTTACTAGAACGATACTGCCCGGCTTGCATGTGATGACCAGTGCAAACAGCAAATAAACTGCTTGCTTGCTCGTGGGCGCAATCTTGAGCCGACGTAAGGTGTACCGAATTTGTCAGAACACGGAAGCTCATAGGCTATAGAATACGAACTCTCCACGATTTTACGAGGTTGGCGAATCAGCTACAGAGGTAATATTAACCACATCCTGCCAACTTCTACTCAGGAGCGCGACAGGACTGTCGTGCCAATTGCTGGTTTTTCAATCAGGTCTCAGATATCTTCACCGCCCTATATTCGAGCAAGAAGAGACGGTGACTACCTGTGTTAGTGACAGCTCGTTGATGCCGGTCTTTTACTGAAGACCAGCTGCACCAGGACTCAAAACAAAGCCCTTCTTACGAATCACGCCTATGCAGACTCAATTCTTCAACGACTTTTTATGATCTGTTCAAGGAAATATCCGAGGTCACCAAACTCAATTCGACCTTTGCGCCGTTTGCAGTCGAAAGCAATGAGCGATCCGATGCTATTGCCTTAGGCTCAGGCATGATTTTGCAGCTCCATGATAACCATTCAATGTGATATTCACTATGTCTGATCTGACAGTAGACTCTCAGGGATACTGCACGGTCGTGGTACTGACTCTCGCATACGCTGGAGCACCACATTCGCTTTGCATACAGATCAGTCTATCAGAAGTCAGGTCGCATCTAATAGCTTTTGAACAGGCAATATGAAATAGTAGGTTAGGTCTCCTCGAAGGTGGGCTTCAGGAATGTACTGGTGAAGGCAAACTTGATACAGGTGTTGTAGGGGATCTCGCCATCTGTACTGATATCCACACTCCAGCAGACACAACACGAATTACAGACCGATTTGACAGTATCTCCTACTCCTGTAGTCGAGTGAGGCAGATCAGCTACACATCGCCTGATACGGAAGGCACTTGAGCAGGTGTGGAAGTAGTATTATTTCCTCACTCGTGAACCCGTCTCTGTCACATTTAGCGACCACAGTACTAGCCCTCACGAATGGAGAAGCATAGGAAAATGGCTGTATTGGTTCAGTGATCACACATCCTGCCCACTAGTCTTAAATCTCTTTCAGACTATCTCATTATGCAAAGCGTCGTCGCAGAGCTCGACCAACAGTACGACGCCGAATGTCACGATGATATTGCATTGTGAAGCCTTGATGCTGCACAATCTCACAAGCTAGCGTCTGTAGACATCGACTGCTTCTTCTGGACCATCTCCAGTTTCGTCTTAAGGTCCGAGCTCTTCCTGCTGCCAAACAACTTGCTAAAAAAGTTGCCTCTTCTTGCATATCCATTCTTCTCATCTCCTTCGCCAAGAGTCGTACCACTGAGAACACTACTTTGCCGTTCTTTCTCGCCAACACGCGCATCATATTGTCGAGACGCGCGGCGAATTTTCTCTTTGGCTCGCTTCTCGGAAGCTTCGTGGAGGGTCGAGTACATGTTGTTGGCTATTAGAGTGAAAATTATGCTGAGAGGGAAGAAAATAGCACCCAGACTTCGAGTGAGCTTTGGGAATCCCCCCCCCCCCCCCCCCCCAAAAAGGACTGACTGATCTCAATTATCATATGTTGAATGAGAGTACGACAGGTTTGCGGCGGTCAATAGTTTCGTACTCAATGACCTCCGCTGCCTTAGTTCTGTGGGTGCCTCGTCTACGGCGTAGCTCATTCTGGATCTCTCAGCTGCATTGCGGGCTCGAGTCTTGTGCTCTCGATCGAGCGGAAAAGGCGCTTATGTTCTGAACTTCACTCTCGAGCTCGATCTTGGCGTTGTGGCGCCGGCTTGGCTTGTCAGTTTCAGGGACATTTTCGCCCATGCTCACTTCGTAGCTGCGCCTTCAAACGGCTCATCGGTCGAAAAAGGTCCAGCGATGGTTGGTCAACGCGGTCTGTCGGCTCTGGAAGAACGTACTTGTGATATTGCTCACGAACTCGATATCCGTTGAGCGGATCTGGGCAAGCACTGTGAGTCCAGGTCCAGACGAACCCTGACAACAGATTCTCGAGACAGTACGCTTACACGGAATCTTTAAGCACAACAAGAGGTATGTTGTGGCTGAATCACACTCTCATCTTCTGCCTGTCTACTGCCAGCGACTCGATGTAAGCTTGTCTCACCTGTCGCAAGGAGATCGACGCTATGGTCTGATATAGCATCAATGATGTCTAATCGTTTGTGTCGTGATGGTAGACAGGCGACGTAGATGACGACCGATGGACTGCATAGTACATCTTTGCTACGATCTGTATCGTTTGTTCACTTAGGCGATCACTGTCCGTCCCCAGAGATGAGCCCGATATCGATACGTCACGAGCTTCTCCTTCTTATAAGAATGCCGTCGAAACGCGGCCACGAGACACCTGCTACAACGATCTCGACTACTTTGACGATGATCCGAGAGCTTCATGTTATTTGTGCATAAACATGTGGGATCTGTTACTAGCGACTGCCACGATTCTTAGCGTTTCTGAACACGAATATCATCAGTCATCTGAATTTGTATTTGTTCTTGCAGCTTGTTATCGACTAATTCAGCCAACAAAGAATCATACAAGAGTGAAGCATCGTACATGTGAGCCTAAACGCATTTCAATACACGTGGTTTACATGACGTGCTGAGCTTGACGACGGGCCGGTTCTTGGCAGCACTTGGAAGAAGCACATCATCAGTCGCCAAGACGTGAACCATATGTCGAGATCGGTAGTCAAGAACGCCACGACCGAACATGCCTGCCCTGAATGGTTCGGTTGGTCTTCGGTATGGAGTCAGTTGCTACTTTCCGCTCTTGGCAGTATCGAACGTTGTTGCGCAGACGCTGGGCAAATGGAGATCGCGACGCAAACACAGCAGATGATTTAATGGTCTCAGGATCCAGGACAGCGAGAACGGCTAGTCTCGGTAATCTGAGACCATTTCCAGAGATATGGGCTCGCTATATGTGTATCGAACGACTCTATTTTCGCTTTCTAAACATATTTCCTCTTCATATCAGATATACACTTCTCAAAGTACGCCTCTGCATCCACTAACATCATGGGCGTGTTCAGCAAGAACATGGACGAGTTTCCTCCTCCCCAGGAGGACGAGGAAGTTCTCGCTTTACAGCGCGATTGGACGCCAGCTGAGGAAAGGAAGGCAAAGCGCAAGCTCGATCTCATTATCATGCCGCTTCTCACCTTAGGATTCTTCTGCCTTCAACTCGATCGAGGCAATATGGCTAATGCTATCACCGACAACTTTATGGAGGATATTAATATTGACCAAAACCAGTTCAATATTGGTCAGCAGATGTTGTCTCTTGGCATTGTGCTTTTCGAGATTCCCTCAAACATGATTCTCTATCGTGTTGGTCCTGGAAAGTGGCTTACACTTCAACTGTTCCTGTTTGGTATCGTCAGCACGTTCCAGGCTTGGCAAACAAACTATGCCTCCTTTATCACAACAAGATTGCTTTTAGGCATTACTGAATCTGGTTTCATCCCTGGTGGACTGTGGACCCTGTCAACCTGGTACACGAGGAGAGAAACTGCAAAGCGAGTCATGTTCTTCTACTTTGGCAATCAATTTGGGCAAGCTTCAGCCAAATTGCTCGCTTTCGGTATCCTGCATATGCGTGGTGTCGGCGGCAAATCGGGATGGTTCTGGCTTTTCGTGCTCATGGGTGGCTTCACGATCTTTTGTGGATTCATTCTCGGTTTTTTCTTGCCTGACTCGTTCAAGAAACCTCGAAGCACTTTCTTGCCCATGATCAACATATTCTCTGAAAGAGAAATCCACATTCTCAACACTAGAGTCCTCATTGATGACCCAATGAAAGGAAAGAAAAAGAAGAGCATTGGGTTAACTGCGTTCAAGAAAGCTGTATGTTCAGTAAATGCCTGCTTGATTATGGCTAATGTGTTATAGTTCTCGAATTGGAGGGTATGGGTTCATGTGATCATTACGCTCGCCAACAATGGGCCACAACGTGCCTTCGATACATATGCTCCCACCATCGTCCGCAACTTTGGATTTGGAGCTCTCAGTGCGAACGCCTTGGCTTCAGTCGGTCTCTTCTTGCAGATTCCAGTCTCTTGGACTTTCAGCTGGATCTCAGATCATTTCAACAGGCGTGGAGAAACTGTCATAGCTGGGTTCTGTGGTCATTTGATTGGTTACATTTTCAACCGCATCTTTACGGAGCTCAACAACAGAGGTGCACGTTACTTTGGTGTAATCTGGACTCAGACTTTCGGCACATTCTCCCACCCACTTAACATCACATGGTTGTCCTTGACATGCACGGACTCGGAAGAACGCGCTCTGGCAATGGCGATGTAAGTATTATCTAGCCAACAATGAGTCGATTATGCTAACATGCGAAGGGTTATTATGGGTGCCAATATTGCCGGAATTTACGGTGCACAGATCTTTCGACAGGATGATCGACCTCGATATCGTCGAGCATTCAGCATCGCTTGTGCTGTTCTCGCCGTCGGCCTCGTTCTCTCGATCGTACGATACCTTGATGATATCGTTCGTCGTCGCAAGAGTGCAAAGAATTCCCAAACGGCTGCCAGCGATACGGACTCTATGTCACAGACTGAGCGCAAGATGAGTGCGCCACCTAGTGATGATCAACCAGCCGCCTTGGTTCTTGACCATAAAGGATCGTTAACTGTTTCTAATGGTTTGAGGGTAACAACGTAGAGGATAGTCACGTGATGAGCTACTGGTTACTTGCTTGGCTGTGTATGTATCTTGCTTCGACATACTGAACTAGATATGATAGCCGCAGGTATAAAGAGTCATCGATACTCGACACTGGTACACGCTGGGAAACCAGATAGTGTAGAAAAAGAGGTAGTTGAGCTCTTGAACTATAGCTAATTTGGATTCTGAAGACCGCGTAAAGTGATGTCTCCACCCGAACATGATCTTCTGTAAATATACCTTGATATCTAGCATCTCCATTTACTGTAAGTAAGATCTTGTGTACAATGACTTGCGTGTCCAGAAGGTAAGAGGAGCGTTTCCTCGAAAATTGTCTGCGACCGCTCCGATAGCAAGCGTAAGACTAAGCTGCCTACCTTTCCAGAACAGCAACTGTGCTCGGCTGAAACCTGATGAATAGCACGCGATCTCAATGGGTGTTCGTAGCCTGCCGAGAGATCTAGATGTGACGAGCCTACACGTACTCTTGCACCAGGTCGTTTAATACTTCAGTAGAGATTCCAGAAGCATTGAGTCCACATAGAGGAGATATCTTCCAATGGGATCTGTGTACGAAGAGCTAATGCCTAGGGAACTTCTACTGAAGTGTCTCACGACCTGGTGCTGGTGTATCTGGGCTGCTGAGTTTCCAGTAACTTAGCCGATTCGTCTGAAGCTGTCGCACCAGGCGACACTGGCGCCATGACGCGTGCTTGCACAGAAACTGATTCTTTGCATTCTCATCAAATGTGGGAGCTCAGGCTTATCGTACTATTCAGCCCGCCTACACACAAATCTACTTACATGCACGCTGCTCGTAGCAATCTATGCCTACCATTTTTTTCAACGCAGCAAGCATATCGACTTGTTGGTTACTACAGCACACTTCTTGATACAAGCTTCGAGTCTCGAACACCTTTTCCTCGAGTTGCGCGGGCGGAAATCCATGAGCATAGCCATCAGCGCACTCCTTCACAGTTTCTTCAGCCCTCTCGCCTCCGCTAGCGAATTACCTTTTCCTGCCCGCCACGACCGTATAGCCAGGCGACACTACTCTCACCCGTCGAACGGCGTCTCGATGCAAATTCCTGTTTATTGCCTTTTCCTATTATGACATGAGCAGAAGAATAAGAGGACTGATGCTGGACAAGAATCACGCGTCGAGTCTCCAATACTTTGCAACGGTGGGTTGCACCCCTATGCCGCATGCCGCGGGCCAGCGTTTGTGTCTCAGTCTGAGGATATGGTTGCGATTGAGTCTAGAACGGAACGAGTCTGGTCATCTCTCCATGAGATCTGTTTCGGCAACTTACGGAATTGTCAGCTCTATGCTCAATGGCTCGACAGACTGCCGTGGCCTCGTGTTTTGATATCAGCCAGGACCCTACACTCTACGACCTTTCAACTTCATTTTGATTGTGCTCCGCAGCCACGCAAGGCATGTGCAGGTTCCTTTCATGGTGTTTCCAGTTTGCTGTTTTCTACCTGTATCCACAGGCTCTGCATAATTTGATATTGCCACGACCTTACTGGTTGGTCAGCATCATGCGTTCACTTCGTCTGAATGTATTTCATCTGATGCTTGGTGCTCCCGTACTCATTGAGTCGCTGGTGGTAACGTGTACGATCATGCTCTCGACCTAGAACTCATCCTTCGAGCCCACTGCCACGTTATGTCAAATGGAAACCAGGCCAGTATGATTACCGTAGATGAGAAGGCTCAGGATCATCTCTCGTGGAGTGCTCATAGCCAACATAGTATTCACGGAATTGTTTTGCATGGGCAATATCGGAGTTCAACTTCTGCTTGTCAGAGCTTTGCACCACGCAAATACCAGTAAGCACTTCTGGTCACTCAGCATACTGGTGAGTGCTATTCCACACATGGCCGAGTTAATCATGCCTGGCAGTGACGCAACTAGTACTAGAGAGTTCATTAGTTTGATGCTGTGACCACGACTGTTTCGGAAGACAATATTAGATCTCGATTACTCAAAATGGAAGGTGACAGTGCCCGAAAGAGTTGCTAGTTCTTCATGAACCCCACGTTGCACGATCTCCGCTTCCTATCGCTGTCGCTGGATGACCTTGGCTAATCAACAGCAAGCATTCTGTACTCATCCCATGTAGAACCGTTCAGCGCAATAACGTCCATGTCTCCAAAACAAGTCCTCGTGGTAGGCGCAGGGGCTATCGGTGCTTTCTTTGCTGCTCGCCTTGCTAGCGTACCTGGCATCAAGGTGTCGACACTATGCCGATCCAATTTCTCAGCCATAAAAAGTGGTGGGATAAAAGTGACAAGTCCATTATTTGGTGAAACAACATTTCAACCTCGTTTTGTTTTCGCTAGTCCCGAAGAAGCCAGGAAAGTCATGAAGGAGCAGAGCCTCTCCTGGCAATATCTACTCGTTGCGACCAAAGTTTTGCCTGAGCTAGGTGACGCTAGTGCATTGCTGGAAGGACTTGTCGACCGCACCACCAGTATCGTGGTGATGCAGAATGGACTAGCCATCGAAGAGCCGTATTGGAAAAGATTTCCCCGTAATCCTATAATCAGTGCAGTCACTAGGTGAGTGTTGGTCGTGGAAAGACCGAGGAAATACCCAGCTAACCGAAATCTTACAAGAACTTCAGTGACACTGCCGAGTCCCAATCATGTAAAGCATAATCACTGGACACGCACCACGATTGGGCCTTTTGTCCCCAGTGAAGATCCCGGTATGATTGTCCCGACGACCAGAAGTACTGCGCTGTTTGCAGATATGCTTCAAGCAGCTGGGTTTCCTGATATTGACCTGCTAGATCACGTCAGCATGCAGTTTGCTCGTTGGCACAAGACGGCGATCAATGCCGCTATGAATCCAACAGCTGTGCTCTCAGGAGGAGCATCGAGTCAAGCTATGGCTCTGGACCGGGAGCTTTACACGCATATGTTGGCAGTCATGAAAGAGATCATCGACGCTGCATGCCAGATTCTGGGGAGACCGTTGCCCGAATCGCTGCCTAAGTCAGTAGACATCTTAGACGGAGTAAAGGAAGATGTCAGTGGTAGCCGTCCGAGCATGTGGCTCGATTGGGAAGCTGGACGTAGAGTCGAGTTAGAAGCAATCTTGGGAAATCCGCTACGGCAAGCACGAGCAGTTGGTATGGAATTACCGAGAACGCAATGCATGTATTCATTGTTGAAGAGAGCGCAAGAGGAAAGGATTCAAAGAGCGCAAGAGGACAGGACTCAAAGATGAACCAAGGTAAACGACCTTCATCGTGCTCAAGAATTATCTCCAGAGATTGCCATGGAACTGCAGATACTTCGTGTGTGCGACATGCTGCTTTGAGCCGCCCGCATACCTTTTCTTGCTCAACAAGTTTTCATCCCATGGCTGGAAGATATTGTGGAACTCTTCATGAATGAGAGAGTCAACGATATACTCATATGTCCTACGTGCAGGTTTCGCTTTAGGCAGACTCGACACGCCCAAATCTAACGTGGTATACCAGACCTGCTTCTTGATCTCCCATACACGAGCTCTAGCATCAAATTCCTCCTGAGATCGTGATGCAGCTTTGTAACGCAGAACGTCGTCGAATGTCTCGAAGTCGAGGCGTGGATACTTACACACAACATAGGCTTTTGCAATAAGTGCTTTCCCGATTGCGAGAATCATTGACCAAGAGACCGAGTCAATGGAGACACCGGTTTTGTGAAAGTAGGTCTCGAGGACTTCATTGTAGGAATAGACGCTGGAGAAGAATATATTGGATATTTTCTGCGGTTCAGTCGAGAAGCGAGTAAGCTCAGTAATCGATCGCGCCCCGAACATGAATGCAGCTATGGCCGACTCATCAGTGGAACTCTCGGGAGTGGGTTCTGTTGACGTATAGATGTCGACCATGTCTTTTTTGTTGTCGCTAACACCATTAACTTGTGGACACAACCCTTCGTCTGGGGATTAGCACAAAAGGCTGAGGTTCGTCGAGATAGAGACGTCACTTTTCGAAACTTCACTCTTGGGACGGATCGGCAGCGTGAATAATGACATCCCTGGTCCTGCAAAGATAGCAGCTTCGATCCAGAAATGGTGGTGATCCTGTCCATAGTGACTCGTGTGATACCAATGAATCCTCATGCGGCTCAGCCAGGCAGCATATCAAAGTGTAAGCAATTTTTAGGCAGAGACTTCACAACTGCAACCACTCAAACATCGTATTTCTATTTCATTGTTGAATATATTTTGCCTGCCGATCAAACTTGCTTTGCTGATGATTTTCGCAAAGGCTTTGGCTTTGTTGGCTTGCTCTTCGTAGGAGTTTTCTTGTGGCTGGACTTTGCGATTCGCGCCGATATCTTCTGCGAAATTAGTGTGTTATGTTCGGTCCCTTTTGCTGCTTCGATAGCTCTCAACGACTTTTTCTTCATTCTCTGGCCTCGACCGAGATTCTCTTGTGGTGGCACCGATCCTTCGCAGTCATTCTCGGATATGAAAGTGTTACTTGAGAACCCTGGACTCTCTATAGGCGAGTATGACCAGTTGAGAGTACTTGGCCTGCTGCTGCGGTCAGAACTATTCTTTACTCGCTCATTATCTTCCAAAATTGACTTCAGACTAGGTTTCCATTGAATCAATTTTATTGCTGCTTGTTTGCCGTGCTGCCCTCTGACAATGCCATAACCCAGATCATCGACCAGGAGATCTTCATTATCACTTGCTAGGCTTGTCCTGCCGCAACTGGGAATAAACTGTAAAGTCGTGTAAAATTCCTCAGCAGCTCGATCTCTAGGAATTGGACCTAAAATTGGCTCTCGTGTCACCATGGCTCTGAAATACGATTCCTGTAGGTCTAAGGGTACTGATGCCATATTGTGGGTGATGCGGTACCTTTGAATTGGGATGGCAGTACTTCTATCTTCAAGCTGCGCGTACTTTTCCAGTGGCCAGGCGTAGTGTAGGGCAAGTGGTTTACTGAGGTTGATATAGCTATTCGGGCTCGGAAGACGTCTCTTGTCAGCTATATAGAGTCTATCATCACTCGCCGTGATATGTGCACGATCATCTGCAGGTGGTATGATCTTCATTACAGTCAGCTTGTAAGCTGAAGATTTCGTGGAAAGGCCACTGCCATTGGATGTGAGAATCGGAAAGACAATGAGATTCGACTGCAGAACAGCAACAATGATTGCGTGTCTCAGCTTTACACAAATGTCACCAACTCGCTTGGATCGTACAATGTCAACCTTGTCCACATCACCTAGAGCGGGTACAATGTGTGGGATAAGGACTACATCGCCACGTCGCCATATTTTCGGCGCGGTGTTCACCTTGCCAAGGTCGCGACGAACAGTAATTGTATCACTGTTAGCATCTCTGTCGCCGAATTTCTTCTCAATGAGCTTGCTAATGACTGACCCCGAAAGTCGACGAGCATCTCGAGAACTAGGAATGCTGGTGGCAGGTCTCGAAATTGATGACTTGACACTTCATAGGTATCTCGCTCTGGACGTGCTATTCGAGTCAACCTTCAGCCGGTCACCATTGATCATCGAGTGGTACGTATTAACGTGAAGCCCCAGCACCTCAACTGACATCCAGTAACGGGTTGATAGAGATGCACCACGGTAAAAAATAGGCTCTGTCGTCTATATCTAAGATGCTGTATCGATGCGTAGGGTTTGGTAAATGGGACAGAGATTCATACACAAAGACCGTCGGTCTCGAAATTCCCATGTACCTGAAACAGCGTTCAAGCAATTTCATCACCTGTCAAGCATCGTTCGAGTAGAGACTTCTGACGATGTGCGTGTTTTTTTCATTAGCACTTGGCATGATGTGCAAGTTGTCGTGGCCCTCAAATCACATCGAGTAGATGGCTTGATTCGCAACAAGCCGGTACAGAACTGTTTTTACAGCGGAACTTAGCATTTCGCATGCGACTTCGACATTGCAATAATCGAAGACGAGGCGTTGAGTGGAGCGATGTGGTGATCCACCTTGCTTGCGACGAAGGCTCCAGCGACCGTGCGTGGCTGGCTGTACAAGAAGACACTGGTATCTGTGCGAGATACTACGTATGCATGGTACACGTAAAGCACTTCACATCGCGTCTAGGCTCTAGCACCTGACAGATATTTAGTGAGTATCCGAAGACGGCGAACGACCTATTGATTCGTAAGCCACATTGGGGTAGGAGAAATACAAGTTTAGATGCGAGATCTGAATTTTTCAAAGGATGTGTTTTGAGTATGGTTCCTCGGCTTGAATTAACTGTGTATGCTGAAGGAAATGAGCGACTTTTGCCAGTGGTCGTCACCGCAGTGTGGCAGCATTTTGGAGCACTGTACATCAATGGTGGTCATACGCGCTGTCTAGTGGTTTTCAGAGATGATACTGGGATCTGGGTTTGTCAATCTTTAGTAGAGGGCACACCCAGCGAGAACTGTAGTGGTATGGCACAGAAACGTGTCGCTTGGCAGGAAACCGACAAGTGCGTCGGCAGGTAACTGAAGTCGCCTGCCAAGGAGTAACCACCGATGAAAGTCGTCCACGTACTTGACCATTGATTGCAGCCAGCACGAACAGACCGACACCTGGCTGAAATACGAGAAGAAAACTGAAACGGAGTGCTAAGCAGCCAAGGCAGTTCGAGGATCTGCATGCCGTCCACTTCTAGGTAAGGAGAGCTTATAGCCGCAGACTCCAGCTGTGTTCAGCATACTGTTATGAATGCAACAGGATGATGTAGAGTCTGCTCTCAAAAGTCTGTATTGTCATCATGCCGCAATGAAGGCGAGCACGCACATACTGCCTTGTTGGCGTCGGTATGTACCGCTAATTCTTGACCCGTCAACCTGCCTTAGAAATATGCATCATATCTCCCATGTTCTTGACAAGAATTGCGAGCCTAGGATAGTCGGATCGGTATCAGCGTGTAGAGATTGGCTTTGGAAGTCTTATGTGCGACTGTTTCGGTGATCGTGTATCTAAGGGGTCAGATCGCGAGTACTTCCCTTCCGGCACAAGTGAAATTTGATTCCCAGCTGAGGCTTTACATTCCATCTTGGTCTCTTTTACATTGTAGGTGCGAGCTGCTCCTAGTCGCCAGTATTACATCGTCGCAACAGAATAGATGACTTTGGCAGGATGGTCCCCAGGTTGGTAACAGTGATTACGGAGTAAGTAAATGTAGACGTCGTTACACCTTCCTCATTAGCTTACAAGCGCTGATGATAGTGTGCTCAAGGCCCCTCTGAGCCTAACATGAGTGCTATGAATGCCCTTAAGAAACAGACTATACTCCGTAATAATTATGACGTTCACATCCGCACACATACCGTCCTGTTCCTCTACACGCAGCATGATCGTGTGTTTCATCCCAGTAAGAAGAATGCCTGACCATTAACTTCGCTGCGAAGATCGAACAACCACATGGCGGATCATCGACTAGGAAAACACCGTCGGACAATCTTTGACGCACGATAATAAGCGTTCAATATCTGGACCGTTCAACTTCCCTGGTTCCCAAAATCGTAGTCGGAATGCAACTGACACTGGTCTTGTCTTCTGGCTAGGACGATTTACTTAGAACTGTGTGCGGGACTGAAGTGCTATTCGTCGCGGATGTGTGACTGATTGAACACTGTCCACATACCGAAGGGCCTCCGCTTGATTATCTAATGCTTGTAGCTAACCGGAAATAATGTGGAGGACTTGCTCCTCAACCAGCGTTGTGGCGACAATACACTTCACCCCTAGAACTATTTTGACTGTCCATATGCCAAATTGCGGGACACCGGCCCGCTGCCACTATGACTACGATCTCTTCTTCTATCAGCCTTCAAACCCCTTGGACAGAACGCCTTACTCTTCCAACGGTTCCTGGTGAGAGCTTCCAAGCAGAGCAAGACACAACATGGCTGTAAATGGTGAACGTTTTAACCAAGCGGTCCCACCCAGCTTGAAAGTCATCATCGTAGGTGCTGGCATTGGAGGACTCTCTGCTGCAATCAGTCTGAGACAGCAAGGTCACGATGTTGTCATCTTCGAATCCAGCCGGTTTGCGGCTGAAATTGGAGCAGCTATACATATTCCACCAAATGCCCATGGTTTATTGAAGCGAATGGGTATTATCCCAAGTGAAAGTGGTGCAAACCTATGCACTTTAATCACTACATTCACTTCGAGTGGCAAAAAGCTAAGCTCTGTCGATACTGCCGCGCCCAGTCACCTTTGGCAGGATAAGTGGCTTCTTGGACATCGAGTCAAGGTACACAATGCATTGAAGGAGCAGGCCCTCAAGTTGGGGTCTCAGTTAAACCTTCACATTCCGGTTGTCGACGTCGACCCGGAGGATGGAATAGTAAAACTGTCGGATGGATCGACACATCAAGCAGATGTTGTTGTGGGTGCAGATGGTGTTCACTCAATCACTAGGCAGATCGTTGTTCCTGGACATCCGAAGCCCTTTTCTAGTGGCAAAAGTGCCTTCAGGTTTCTGATTCCACGGCAACTCATACTGGATGACCCACAAACACGACCATATGTACAAAATGACGGCAACTTGGTCATGGTTATGGGCTCAGACCGTCGACTCGTAATGTACCCGACCAGCGACAATACACTGCTTAATTTCGTGTGCATCCACCCCGAGAGCGAGACATCCTCCACTTCTACGGGTGATTGGAACAACGAAGCGAACAAGGACACATTGCTCACTGTGTTCAGAGACTTTCACGATGACTTTCTGGCGATCTTGCGAAAAGCTGATGAAAAATCTTTGAAGGTTTGGAGGTTGATGGACATGGAGATACTGCCTTCCTGGATAAGAGGTCGATTGGCATTGCTTGGGGATGCAGCTCATCCATTCCTACCGCATCAAGGGCAAGGAGCAGCAGTTGCTATCGAGGATGCTGCCGCTCTAGGAACAGTCTTAGAGCGTAATCTCAAAAGTGATGAAGTACGAGACAGATTGTCGCTATACCAAGACATTCGGAAGGCTCGTGCAGATACGCTTCAAGATTACACCAGGACTGCGGGACGAGATGAGACGGTTGGTAAGGTGGAAATGCAAAAGTACATTGCCTTCAATTTTGGCTACAATGAGTTTGACAATTCTGCTCAGCGACTGCGAGAGTGGAAGTGGTCGAGGCAGCAAACATCGTACTGGCGCATGCCCGTTGCTTTCGGACCTATGCCTGGGCCAAGACAAGACCATCGAGGCAAACCTCGAGACGGAACAAGTTCTACCTTTGTCACTGCTTCAATCAAAATTAAGACGTCGAGAACTGTGTTACAAAACCTTTTTCCACCTGGCTCGAAAGCGTGGCGGTTCAAGTCACCAGGCACAATTGCCTACTGCTCTTTCTCGCAGACAACATTGGATGGTATGGAGTGGCTTGGCGGGTCAGGATACAATCATCTGGGGCTCTACATTCATGGTGTCGAATACGTGAAGGCAGATGGATCCATCGTTAGTGGAGTATACATGCCAATCCTGTTCGAAAGCTTAACAGATCCCATCGTGTCTGGAAGAGACGAGCTCGGAATGCCGAAGCTATACTCAGCGATTGACGTTGGTCGGAGTACGAATTCATACAACGTCACTGCCAGCTGGCGAGGGCAGACATGGGGCCACTTCGAGTGGAACAGCTTGCAGGAGGACGATATAAGCAATACAGCAGGCAAGATGACGGGTGACGATGCTGACAAAGGCATCTTGGTGCAAAGGTACATTCCAGCAGTGGGTCGAGAACTCAAAGGTCATGCCGAGGCAGACTACGCTGTATTCGAGGACTTCGATGGCGTGAATCCTAAACCAAGACCAGAACGAACATGGTCAACAACCAACGCTCGATTCTCGATCGAACCTGGGTCCTGGAAGACTCTCCCAACACTACATCATGTCATCTCAAGACTGGCTGAGATACCTGTTTATGAACTTATCGCTGCAAAAGTCGTCTCGGGAACTGGTGTGCCGGACGTTTCAGGAGCTGTAAGGATAGGAAGCTAGCTTAGCCTGACAGCGTGCTATACATTATAGCTTAGCAGAAATTTCGATTGCTAATCACTATGAACAAAAATTCTGAATTCAGCACTGCCCCACCATGCCTTAATCCATATAAGTGCTGATACTTCGTTCTGTTTCTGTGAAAAATCTTGGAGGTATTGCTAGCTGTGCCGCCCTACACAACAACTACCGCCCGACCTCAGAATGTGTTCTCAAGCAGAACGATATTTTCGGTATGTGGAGGTCGATCCCCAGATTGCCACGATGTTTAGGGCTAGAAGCGAGTTTAGGTTACCTAGCGATACTCTGGAACCCCACATACTCCAGACTCACTTTTGGAGAGCTTGGAACACTCTCCGCAATATTGTGTTGTATCGGTCGTGGTGTCAGCGATATCAGCAATTTTGTTCGGTATATCTCAACCACTGATCCACAGAATCCTAGATTCAACCATACCTCTCTCTCTTTCCTGCAGAATATACCGAGTTGTCAGTATACAAATACCTTATAAGATCAGCACAAGTTCATGGGAAACGGCGGCTACAGTCCAAACGGAGACGCATCCATGAATCTTTTAACGACTCAGTCATTGCTACCGGTCCTTACGCTCCTGCTCATTGGTATGGTATTGGTAAGTCCTGGAAATCCAAAACTTCTCACGGTCGCCAGCATTGTCTACTAACATGCCAAACCACTGACGTCTTGCCTAGATCTCGTTCTACAATGCCTTTCGTAATCCGCTGAATAAGGTACCTGGACCTTGGCATACCCGTTTCACGAATCTTGGACTTAAACTCTCTGTGATCACTGGTCGTCGAATGTTCTATGTCGACTCTATGCACCAGATATATGGTCCTATCGTCCGCATCTCGCCTACAGAAATAGCTGTCAGCGATCCTTCCGCATTCCAAGCCATTCATAAGATTGGCTCCGGATTTAACAAGACAAAATGGTATCAGGAACTTGTTACATTCGATCGTCCGACCTTGTTCACCATGACAGATCCACGAGACCATGCTGCGAGGAGGAAGTTGCTGGCTCGGGGATTTAGTAAGAGCTATCTAAGGGGAACCTGGGAGAGTTTGGTTCGAAGCAAGGTTGAGTTGACCATTAGCAAGATGAAAGAAGAAGGAACTGGAGGTGCAGTGGTGGATATCTTGAAGTGGTGGACCCTACTGGCGACTGATGTGTCGTCGCATTTGATGTTCGGCCAGAGCTTTAGGATGATTGAAAAGGGCAAGGTGAGATTATGCCATTGATCGATCAGTCCTTCCATTGACAGTGGCAGGCCGACATGTACATTCAGACTCTCCAAGCGACATTGCAGGGCGCCGGTATAGGCGTTGAATTACCACTTATCCGTCATATCGGGAGCTGGATCCCAACGAATACCTGTAAACAGTTCTTCAGATCAACTCCTTTCCTGCTAGAATATGGCACCAGAGCTATTCAAGGTAGCAAGGCTCGTGGAGACAGTACTAATATCTTCGCCAAGATGATCGACGAAGGTGATAAAGGTTCGGCTTTAGACGAGAAGGATGTTGTCCTTGAGGCGACTGCACTGATAGTGGCTGGGTCTGACACAACCGGCATCTCCCTCACATATCTTGTTTGGGCTGTCCTCTCAAGGTCTGAGCTTAGGGACGCTTTAGAGCAGGAACTGTCGACGCTCGAGGATGACTATGAAGAACAACAACTTGAAGTACTCCCATTACTCAACGCCATCATAGATGAGACACTTCGTCTTTACGGTGCTGCTCCTGGCGGCTTGCCACGAGAGGTTCCTGCCAAAGGAGCTGATATGGCTGGTTACTTCATTCCCGGAGGAACGACTGTCACCACCCAGGCCTACACAATTCATCGTAACGACAGACTGTTCCCAGATGCTGCTAGATTTGATCCATATCGATGGTTAGCGGACACTACAAAGCAAAATTCAGATGAGGCTGTAGCAAAAGGTGCTTACCATCCGTTTGGTGCCGGCTCACGAGTATGCCTAGGCATTCATCTAGCACGAATGGAACTTCGTCTTGGCGCAGCAGAATTCTTCCGTCAGTGTAAAGGGGCAAACTTGGCACCATCCACAACGCAAGCGAGCATGGAGATGGAGAACTTCTTTCTAACTGCTCCTCGAAGTCACTATTGCAATATAGTTTTTAGATAGTGACGGGCAATGGCTGAGCTATACACGAGATCGCCAGATTCTATATACGTGATTCAGAGGCTATTGCTTGTGGCTATCGCTTGGATCTAGCAGACTCTGCAAATATTTTGTCTCGCCCTTTTCCTCTAACCAGACGATTTAGTATGAACTTTGACGAAGAATCATTAAGAATATGATAAGAGTATAATCGTACTCAACAAGCAGCCAAAGCAACACGATTCACACAGAAGTTGACGAGAAACGAGTATATGGATATATGTAGAGACTAATGGCTGCGCATCGCAAGGTCAGAAGGTATTGAAGTGTAGATCTTTGGTAATGCGATCGTGCTGTTTACTTAATGCTGGTCAACCATGCTGAGTAAAGTCAACTCGTGATTACGAGGGATCGCTGACTCGAGCCGGACTCCAAGTCGTGAGTTAACAATATTGATGCTGGCTAAGGTAGCTGTACCGACAGGGAGGTGTTGAAGCCAATAATGCACACGGCAGGACAGGAAAGCTAGAGGTTCGCAATATCATAATTGCACTTTTCGCTCGACTGCAAGGAAGTAATTCTTGTGTTTGATAACGCTAAATTATCTCAGCGCCGGACGAGTCTTGCGATCAGACCATCCTGAGAGAACATTTTACAAAGGCACAGCACATAGCTAACCATGCTTCATGATCTGTTGACTCGTGCTGACAGGTGACTGCGAAGACAATGACTCCCACTTCCCGCTGCATGCAGTATGGAATTTTAGTCCTCCAGCGGCGCATCAACATGATTGTTGAGGTCTTTTTTCGGGTTCACGATGAAGCAGGACGCTGTCCTCGTGTCAGTAGGACGTCTTTGCTTCAATACTAGAATGCTTACCTATGACTGTGACACCAGCAAAGACAGCAGCAGCAATCCAAACACCTCTGAAGCTGGCCAGATAAGCGATCTGTAAAGCATGTACACCAGCACCGATAATTTGAGGTGTTGCGCCTTCAATCTGGATCAGTGCAGTTTGGTTGTTGCTAGCTAAGGCTCCAATGAATCTTTCGAGCTCAGGCGGAGGTAATCCCAACGGTAGTACAGCAGCTGCGATACCCGCGCCAAGCTTTGTAGAGATACTGGAGTTGAAAATAGCGGTATCTGCACACGTCAGCATGGTGTGCTAGGAGCATTCGAGAAGCACTCACAGATAGCCAGAGCAATAGAACCGCCGAAAGATCGAATAGCCAAGAGGATACCACTTGTCACCGCAATCATATGAGGAGGTGCACTGAGTTGTGCTGCCGTTACGAGGTACGTCAAGCTCCAGCCAAGGCCAATGCCTAGAAAGATAGGATATCCCCACATAGCATTTGCACTACGCAGATTGGCTGTTGCCATCAGGACTGCAAAGTATCAACTCTTGGTCTGCATGGCATATTAATTGAACGTACCGTAGAAGATCATAAACATAACAAATGATACAACGATCGGCTCCCGAACCGACTTGGTGAAAAGGGTAATAAAGATGACTGAGCAAGAAGCTACCACAGCCGCAAAGAACGCAACACAGAAGCGAAGACCCACTAACATGGGACTGTGTTCGTAGAGAACTGACACCTCGAAAGCAAAGTAGTTGTTGGCTGCCCAGAAGATCATTCCGTCGGCGAAGAAGCAGCCCAGTGCGACCGCAAAATTCCGATCGTTCTTGAAGAGATCGTGGTGAATTAAACCATCTTTCTTAATGGTTTGGTGGACGATCAGTGCAATGATGAAGCAACCGCCAACGATCAGAGGTGCAAGCACATGTACATTTGACCAGGGATATGGATTCTCACCCCACGAAAGACCGATAGTGAAGAGAGTCAAACCAACAGCCAGCAGTATATAGGCGTTCCAGTCCAGGCGCGCGAGCTTTTCTCGAAGAGTCAACGTTTGCTGCAACGGTCGTGGTGGAGGCCTGTACAGAATCCCAATAATCATCGTGGACACACCAAGTAAAGCAGCAACGATGTACCAATAATTTCGCCAACCATAAAGATGATTGTTGGTAAGAGCCGACCCTGCTAAGATACCAACAATGGCACCTGCGGCGCCTCCAAGGTTGAGGCCACCTTGAGCAATCGGTCTGAATTTTCTCGGAAAGATCTCAGATGCCACTGCCGTGATGATGGGTTGACCAGCATACATGACGCTAGAGATAACCTGCCCGCCAATTGCCATATTCATAGAGGTCGCTCGAGAGAGGATGAGGGCACCGACGAAGCCGAAGAGGGATGCGATAACGAGGAACACTTTTCTACCCCAATAGTCTGCAGCTTGGGAGGCAGGCGGACCAAGAACGACAGTAACAATCACAATCGCTTGAGAAAGCCATACTGCTTCACCAGCACCACCAATAGCAGCAGCGATGTTTCGAGCATACTGTTAGATTAGTTTTTGCGTATGTGAAGTGAGTCGATTACTTACCGCACCAGAGCCGACCACGTTGAAGAGTTGTACGAAGTATATGAGACATACCGCCTATCTTTTGTTAGCATTTTTCACTTCCTGGAGCAGATGAGCATACGATGTATACTAAGACTGTCTTCAGATGGACACCATGATAATTGTCGGTATATCGGGTTTCGAGTCGTGCTAGGCCCTCATCCTTAGGAACAGGCTCTTCCATATGCCTAGTCGTTGTCTTTTCGATCTCCATATTCACCAAACGCGGAATTCAGCAGAAATTAGACCAAGGCAGAGTCTCTCCACAATATGGAGGGATTGTAGGACATGAAATGGCCAAAGTATATATAATCCTCAGACGAGTGGGTTCGCCTTTAGTTACAGTGCATATCAACAGATGCAGCAGAAGGACTTCCGAGCCTGCAGTCTAGACTCGAACCGGGAACAGGTAGCGGCAACTGCATGGAATTGATTGCAACGAAGCCAGCTTCCTATGTGGAGGTACCTGTACTCGTGTGGTCTCAATATCTGGGACTGCGGGTATCTCGCGCCGGCCTTATCCCGGTACGTCTCCATCGAACTGAGTCATCTTCGATTAGTGATAGCACAGTCGCTGGATGATTGGCAATTGCGGGAGTATTCCTAGGTCATCTTTCGCCTTGCAGACATCGAAGCAAGGGTTTACCTAAGAAAACAATGAGTTTTGTGGTGCGTGGGCAGCGTTTTCGTGTCGATGTTAAATTGGTCGGCATTTGTTCAGCTATGATTTTTCGCCATCCAAGAACGCATAACATGGAATAGTTTTGGTTGAGCGCGCCGTGAGCCGCTACCCCAGATCGTGCCCCAGCTTTCCCCTCTCAAATCACATCCGACAGCGCCCTCCACATCGGCATCCACTTTTTTCCACGTTGACTTTGCCACAGCAACGAGACAGCTCATTCTGGCATCCTCTCCCTCCACCGCCTACCTCAACAAAGTCCACCCGCGACTGAGAAGGTTCGGAATGTGTGCACAGTTTGACGGCCTAAACACGACTACCAATGCAGAAATCATTGAGGTCGTACCTTCGAACGGGAGGGCGAATTCGATCCCTACTGCCGAGGCAGGTTTGATCTCGTGTAATGTTTGCAATCGAAGCTTCGCTAGATTAGACCACCTAGCTCGACACCTGAGAAGTCGTGAGTCTAAGCTGCAACAGCTCATCGTCGACGTACTAAGTTCCAATCATCTAGATTCTAAAGAAAAGCCCTTCACATGTGATATCTGCGATAAGAACTTCGGTCGAATGTCAGTTGTTTTACTACAAATTATGGTGAAGCTGTGTCTCTAACAATCCGTAGCGATGTCTTGAAACGTCATATAGATGGTCATAGTTCAGGCAAGCCCACGAAGCGTGCTCGAACGTCCACTCAATCAACCTCACACAGAGTCTCACGGGCTTGCAAACCCTGTGCTGAGGCGAAGCTTAAATGTAGTGAAAGCCACCCATGTGAAAGATGTATGTCGAAGGGTATCGTCTGCGAGTAAGTTCTGTCCCGAGCTTCTGTGAAATTATCTCACTTTTAGTGTAAGTCCCACACCCATTCGACCGTCCAGCTCGGACATAAGTATGAGAAGACAGCCCGAAGAAGATGCAAGGAGGATAATCACGAATGAAGATGTTGTCCACTCCACACCGAGGCAGAGGTTCGACACAAGTCGGTACGATCAGAGCGATGATTTCATACTGCAACACGGCAACGACGTTGTACCTCATACAATGTCCGCTTCGCCAATCCTTTCCAACGTCCAATGTATGACTCAACCGTGGCCTGCTGCAGTCTTAAGATATTAACGTCAGGCAGTGTCCCAGCAGATGTCGTTCACGCCTCAACCTTTAGATGCTGATCCATCGAGAGGCTTCACTGACCTCATGATGGCGGATTTGGTATGTAGTGTCATGAACGAAAGGCCATTCGATACGGTCTTGGGTAATCAGAGCATAGGACATTTGCCAGATATTCTAGATTTCGCGTTTGACGACACTTTCGACTTCTCCTCTGCCGAAATCTTCACGCCACTAGTCAGTATAGATGGGCCTCCCGTGCATGCTCATAGCGGCACTGCTACACCTTCCATCCAAAGACTTGCAAGCCTCGGCCAGCAAGCATTCAAGGACTCTATGTGGCTATGGACTCCCACCCATGGTGACTCTTCCGCAGCTGAGCAGGAAAACTTGTCGATTCCAACACCGGAATTGCTCTTAGCCGACACTACCAGTGTCATTCATCATCTATCTTTGCCTAGCAGGGATCGTGTACTGGCACTTATACTGAGGACATGTGAACAATCAGCGCAAATGCAAATCGTCTCTTGCTTTCCATCTGCTGAGATGTTATCAAAATTGTCCAGTAACTTCATCAGCTATCACTCTCGTCAATTTGCTCCGTGGATTCATGTGGCAACACTCGATCTCAATCAGGAGCGCGAAGTCTTCCTGTTAGCATTGATAGCTTCGGGAGCAACGAACTCATCATTTCCTAATGTTCGGAAACTAGGCTATGCCATGCATGAGGCTTTGCGCCTTAGTATTCCAGCCTCTTTTGAGAAGGACAATAGAAGCACTCGAGACCTGCGGAGTCTACAAGCTATGGCGTTAGAGCTGCAGATAGGCCTTTGGAGTGGCAACCGTCGCAAGTTGGAAATTGCCGAAAGTTTCGCATATCCGATCATTACTATGACACGCAGAGGTGGTAGATTTCGACAGAGATCGCTGGTAGATCTTACACCACATATGGATGACAATGTTCAGACAACCGAGACGAAATGGAAGAAATGGGTGGAACATGAGTCCTTCAAAAGACTCGCCTACCACCTGTTTCTTGTAGATGCAGGATCCTCGTACGCGTTGATGAGCCAACCTCTGATCTCTTACGCCGAAGTTTGTGTCGATCTACCTTGCTCGGCGGATCTGTGGCAAGCGACAAGTGCCCAAGAATGGAAACAAAGATACCTTGTCAACCATACGCATATCGAAGACTCACCCAATTTGCGGCATGTTCTTGAAGATCCGAGTCAATTGACGAGTGTGCAATCGATCATCGATGTACAACTTAGTCTTACAGTAATCGTTTCAATCCTTTGGTCACGAGTATGGCAATGTCTACAGATGAGGACACTGTCTAATTACCAGTACAATGGGTCTGGAGCCTCTAGCATGCTCACAGTCAACACATACCACCAAGAGCTGATTCATGCAGCGAAGAATATTTCCCTCAGGTCCTCCGACTGGCATGGCGGACTTGGTCCTTACGCCGAAATGCTTCTGGAGCTCTGCATGCTGCATCTTCATGTTTCCCTCGAAGCTGTTCAACTCTTAGCTGGCAAAGATGGTGAAGAAGAGGCGCGAAAAGTTGTACCTGTCTTGCGAAGATGGATCGTGTCAGCAGAATCTCGGCAGGCAATTTTTCACGCTGGTCGTGTGCTCGCAGCCGCCCGCAGATACCCACTTGGCTATCTTCGTGATCAGTCCGCCGTGGCTGTTTATCATGCTAGTCTAGCATTGTGGGCATACGCGATTCTTTCCGAAGCACCCTTGCATGGTGGTGTTACCAGCACTGAACGGTATTCTACTTCGGACCACAACAATATTCCGCAAGTATTTCTAGATGAAGAGGACGGGCCTGAAATGCAGAGATTTCTGGTCTTGGGTCTTGGGGTACCTGCTATCAGAAAGTATGAAGAAGTCTGGTTCAGTCCGCGAGAAATCAACAATTATGTTCCACTCAGTGATACACTCATGGCTATGAAGAGCGTTGCAAACCTGCTCTCGAGCAAAAATGGAGACGCACAAAGCAGACCACTCATGGTTACAAATTTGAATAGACTCATACTGGCGCTGGGTCATGCTGCTGTTGAGTTGAAGAAGAAGGGTTCGTAATCACTGGCCATGATCAAAAGTGCATGAAATTAATCCCTGAAATTGCTGATTGTACACTGTCCTTGCACTGTCTCTTCCGCCAGTGATCATGCTTTGGCCTCCACATATTGTCCCCAGGTAAATTGCGAATCTGCCAGTCGTCAGTTCGTGTGTGCACATTCCAGTCAATGGATACTTACTACACATGTTTGTCAGCTCCCAATCTTCCGCCATGAGCTTCGCACTAACACCCTCGTCCTCTTCGTCACCGACAGCACCAGCAACAAACAACGAACTGATGTAATGATCATCGGTTGCGTGGGCATCTCGATACTGCGGGTGCTTCATCAATCTTGTCAGGCCTCTTCTTAGTCTAGGTCCAGAATTTTGCTCGACCACATCTTTGAATGCTTGACGAAACTCGAGGGCCCACGATTCTGGAGGCGTCGACTGAGCAAAATTGTCCTTGTACAGGAGCATTGGCGACCATATATTGCGGTACAGGTTGTGAACTGCACCTCCAGAGCCCAGAAGCAGGTAGTTCTCAGCTCGTAATGGTCTCAAAGCTGCACCAATGCGCACATGAAAATGAGGGTCGTAGTGTGCATTGGAAGAAACGATTGTTGTCGGAGGCATAGTGTTTGGATTGGGAAACATGCGGATGATAACAAGGAAGACATCGTGGATCCATTCAAAGGTTTCGTTACCTGAAGCATGGATGCCATTCTGGTTGAGCAAATCGATGCAACGCTTTCCAGTTGCGAGGTCGGGCTTAAGCTTGTATTCAACATATTTTGATGCATGAACATTTGCGACGGGTTGTTTCGATGGATTCGGGTTCATAGAGACCTGTACAGCCAAGTCTGATTTGCAATCCCAATGTGCACCCATAATGACGATACCCCGGACTTTGTGAGCAAGTGCAGCATCTCCAGCAGCTTTCCAATAATCAGCAGAGGCCGATTCTTCACCCAACATCATCGTGCTGCCATGAGAGAAGAAATGGACAGGAGTGACTGCCAAGGACATCATTAGTGCTATGCATTGGATGCTGAAGACAGCATTGTCGCAATGATCTTACGTGGTGGTGACATTTCTGTTGCACAACTCTGTGTACGATACTGTAATCCTGTCGCAACGTTGGCTGAAGCTGAAGGGTTTCTTTCTACAACAAGGAATGAACGACCTGACTGAAGTGAAGCACAATCGTGTTTGAGAACGATGATTTGAAGCTGTTTGGTACTAGTAAACGGTTTAAAACGTTCAGCGCCGTCTGCAGTGATATCACGCTTGACTGGCAGTGATGGTCTAGTGGCAAAGCGCTGGAGATCAGTGCATCAGCTGCTCGGCAATACCTGTGACCAGCCGAGCTTCTTCTCAGTCTGTGAACGGCATGTGGAGGATTTAGCTTTTGTAATCGCCAACTGATTGAATCTTCACTTCTAGGAATGAATACCAGTAGCGTGCCTTGCCGAAGCTTTAGACACTAAGTCTGGGTCCATCTTGCACCTTGATTAGTGGTCTGGTGTCAATACGAACCGCAGTCGATGAGGGTACTAGAACGAAAGACATAGCTGTGACGGTAAGTTTGTGTAGATGGACTCATGAACCGATTAGCCGGACATGCAAACCACGGTAGGTGGCTAGTGATGTGCGTTAAGGAAATGGCTGGGCGGCAACTTAAGGTGAAGTGAATCCTCGTTGTTCACACATACAAGTTTATTCTCGATTGCCGCAGGCTTTGGCCCCGACCACGGTTCTTTCACTTGATGACAACGAGTCCATGTAATACTTAGATCAATGGAGATGAACAATCGCTTCCAAGTTATTCTATACATATTTGCTGAGTGATCATAGCCAAGCGACAATCTTGTGTCGCAGAGCTGCCTCTCCGTCGCGTTCACGACTGGAATCTCAAAACAAGTTCTGCTCACTCCTATCCACGACCTATCGTGCTCTTAACTTTGCCAACACTAGTGGACCTCCATGTTTGACAGAAAATACTCCTGCAGTGATAGCCGATATCAATACGCAGCCCAAGCCAAACAGTAAACCCTGCTCAAAGAACCCAATTGGCGGGCCCATTGCCTCCTTCACACGATCAAGCGCAACTTCTAAACCCTCCTCTGCTTTCCTCTTCTCATTCGACTTCGAGTCCTGCGAGACAAGCACTGACAAACTCTTTGAAAGCTCTGACACCTCGATGAATTCAGGCTGCGCGATCGAGAACATGTCGGTGGTGTACCGTGGTTGAATCGAGATAGCGTGTCCAGACGGCCCAGGAGGTCCGATCAAAAGCTCATTGGGAATACGATTGACAACCGAGACTGCAGATGATATGAATTGACTCATATACTTAGCTGCTGCTGGAGCACAGAAGAAGTAGGATGCTCGAAGAGGTGTGCCGTCCCGTTCAAGAAAGTTGATTGCATCGTCCATACTGGAGACAGGCACAATGAGCAGAAGAGGAGAGTTGAGTTTTTCTGAAAGCAAGTCACTGTCACGGTCTTTCAGCAGCACGACTGTACCTCTACGTCCGCTGACGAGAACCTCAGCAGAAGAATGGTCAAGCTTCTTTTGCAGACTTGCTGCTAAACTGCGCCCACGCAAGAGTGGGTTCTGCTTGCTGTCCACCATTCCGTCGACTCTGCTTGCGAGATGTTGTACGGCGCTTTCAGTGGCAGCAACGCAGAATGCTTTGACGCTGAACTCATTGACCAGTACGACGTCTGGCGCATACGCCGACTGACACCCAAAGTCGAATCGTGCCTTGATACACTCTTCGGCAGCATGTTCGATGTCTGCGCTCCTGTCGACAACAGCACTGACACGATGGGAGTTTGTGCTAATCCTTCTTGTGGTCGTAAGCGCGTTAAGGTCTTCGCGTCCATCGACTTCGATGCAGTGCTTGCTTCTGAAGCTCTCGTCAAACGGCATCTTGTCCACTGCCGCAAAAGTCTGGTGAGAGAGTGCGCCAAGCAGAAGCTCTTTCAAGAAAGGACCCAGTTTCATCATCCTTTGTTGCAATTCGACCACGACGCAGTTGCCTGCTGCTATGGCAGCCGCTACCGGTACGAGCGTCGAGTACAACTGATCACGACTCGAAGGAATGATATATGCACAGCCATAGGGTATGCGCCTTGTCGAGTTGTCCTTCCCATTCGCGAGTCGGTATTCTGCTTCTAAGCAGTGTTTAGGGTTGACTGAGAGGTGATAGGTCTTAATTGCTTTCGTTGTCAAGAGAAACTGTGCGACGGCCTCGTCCATGGACAAAGAGGCCTCGTCTACAAGCAACTTGCTCAAGACTGCGCGCGATGCCAGCAGCGCTTCGTGCAAGCTTGCAAGCTGCCGCTCTCTATACCTTGGCGTTACTGCAGCGCCGTCGATGATGGATGCACGGATAACCTTGATGTGCTCGTCCATAGTTTGAATGTGTTGTCTGAATGCAGCACGCGATAGCAGATAGCTACTGCCCGTAATATGGTGAGTCCGTGACAAGATGAGTGTAATGCAGTAAACAGGATTCAACTCCTTCGTGCTGTCGCTATCGGTATTGAAGCCACGGTGTGGACCATCTAATACATAGAATCACATTCTAGAATGCGACTGACGGACATCCTCTACAAAGCGGCTCTCGCTCCGCAAAGTCTTCAAGCCGTCAACAAGGTGGAGTTGACGATCCTCGGGACCGCAATCGTGCTAAACACTGCAGGCACTTCGATGCACCCGAAGCTGATGGTGTCGCATGCCGAGGTATACCCCCAAAGAACCATCGAAAGCGCAGCTTGAACTCGCGCTGTAGTACGCATCAAATCTTGCGTTGCCATCATGAGCGCAACGACGACAGCAAACACCAGAACACAAGCTGTATTGAATCTTCTCGCCGATTACGAGCTTACTCACTCCGGACACGACACTACCGGCGTAGTTGAGCCACCAAATCCCAGATCAGTCGAAGACGAGACAAGACAGAACCCAGACTTTTGGACAAGAGATTACCACGGTGTTCCGCCATATAGACCGATTAACTACGAGTTGGACTACGATGCACGACCATGGGCACGACCTGGGGTCGAGACAGCATTTGTCTGGGTTATGTTGAACGGCGTGGGTATAGTTGCAGTAAGTTCGATGTTTACATCCTTAGCAAAAGCTGACGATATTTTAGGCTACTGCTAGGTTATGGAGGAATACTGGTGGCAGGCTCAATGACAAGATATTTAGATTTTCGATTGGAGGAGAACGTTGATTTCAAAGCACAACCAGTGGCAGACATAAACATACTACAATGTTGTAATCGCAATTTGCGATGCGAAGAGATGGCTCTGAGCTGAAATTTATTGAAATGGACTATATTCTCTTTACTCCGAACGATGAGAAGGTTATTCACAGACTAATCTCTAGTGTTGAAGTACTCATTATCTCAGTCATGAATGAGAGTGTCATCTACGTGTTGACCATCTGTCGCAACACAGCTCAGCTGGATGCTCTGACAGCTGGCATGTTACCATAGTCTTCACCCAGCTTCTTGCCCTCTATCTCGATAGGCGCGGCTTCCTGCAGCACATACAGCATCCTTGCCCACTGGGTGTCACTCATGTTTCTCCATGCATGATTCGTGCCTCGCTGGATACTGATATCCCCTCTCTTCATCAGCCTCTTCTCGCCTGAATCAAGCTCGAGACAGATTTCGCCCTCAAGCACAACACCATAATCCAGGCTCACAGTTCTATGCATTGGTGAGAGTGATGCAGGTGGCACATCCACCATGCGAAGCACTGTGCCACCATTGATGACTAGGCCTGGCTTGTTGTTAAGGAAGGACTTATATGAGTCAATGTCTCGATTGGAGTTGAAGGTCACAGGATACTTGTCCGTCGTATATGCAAGGGCGAAATTGGCTATGCCCTCGATATCCTGCCATGGCTCTTCTTCCTGGATTTGTGTTGAGAACACGGCCTGGCCAGAAGCGTTATGGTCGGTGATGAATCGATGCACTTTCGGGAGACCATTTGGAAGGCTTTCTTGGCTCATGTCGTTGGTTACGGTTTAGGATGTGATCGTTCTCGAGTAAAGATGAGAGCCTTTGTGTTGCGCGATAGCGATATGCCCCTTTTCCCAAACAAGTCTGTTCTCTGGAATGAACCCGCAATGTCAAGCATGATCCGGGGGGCGGACTCTACGGCTATCATATCTCTTTCCCCGAGAGCTGGCACGCAACGATACTGAGCCGTCAAAATTCGGCTCGTCAATTCAAGTAATTGCGATCGTGGAGTTCAGCTCTCCACATCCCGATGGTCGGCTCAGTCCTTACCGAGGAGGATACTAAGCGATACAGCAGTCTTTGTGCTTCTGTGATATACATGCATGGTCGAGATCATACCTGTCACAACATTGACAGCAACATTACCAACCATGCCTAACGAAATTAGAGACATCTCCAAAATCGACAGCACATCGTATTCGTACGTCTTCGAGCAGGATGTTACGATTCCTCTACAGAGCTCAACTGGGGTGGTTCGTTGCAATGTATACCGTCCTAAATCACAGGAGCACGACAAGTTTCCTGTCATCATGACTTATGGACCATATGGTAAGGATATTCCGTACGCAGACTTCTTTCCCAAGTCATTCGCAGAGGTGAACCCAGAGCACAAATCTGAACATTCAGCATGGGAAACACCTGATCCCAAATACTGGACTGCACAAGGATATGCCGTCATTCGTGTCGATGAGAGAGGCCTAGGTCAGTCTCCAGGTGTACTTGACACAATGTCTCGAGGCACATCAGAAGCATTTTTTGATGCGATTGAATGGGCAGCTGTACAACCGTGGTCGAATGGCAAAGTTGGACTGCTCGGTATCAGTTACTATGCTGGTAGCCAATGGCGTGTGGCAGCTTTGAGGCCTAAAGGGCTTGCTGCAATCATTCCTTGGGAAGGTATGAGCGACTACTACCGTGATCGATGCCGCCACGGCGGTATCTTATCTGACAACTTCATCAGATTCTGGTGGAATAGACAGGTCATTACCAACCAGTACGGTAGACCAGGAAGAAGTAGCAGCAATTGGGGACCAGATACGATCGAAGGTGATCTATCTGACGAAGAGCGAGCAAAGATGCGAAATGACCAGAACATCGACAATGCACAGAACGAGTTTCGCGACCAGCCATATTATGCGTCCAAAGAGTATGACTTGGGCAACATTGAAGTGCCACTGCTAAGTGTGGCGAACTGGGGCGGTATTCTGCTTCATCTTCGAGGCAATGTGGAAGGTTGGACTCATGCAGGATCGAAGCTGAAGTATTTGCGATTCATAACTGGGCGACATGACTTGCCATTCTACTACAAGGAGGAAGTTGAAATTCAGCACAGCTTTCTCGATGCATTCTTGAAAGGTGAAGACAGACTGGGCTGGTCAGTGCCTGGAAAGCTGCCTCCCGTTGATATGGTCCTGAGAAAAGGTGATGTTGGTTTCAATGATGCGGAAGCTGAGAAAGCATATGCTCGTCGCACTGAGAGTGTTTGGCCAATCGCTAGAACACAATACACGAGGTACTACCTGACACCTGAGTTGAGCATGACAACGACGCCGCCCGAGTCTACATGCAAAGTTTCATACGACGCTTTGGGATCGTTGGACCAGCCACAATCACTGCAATTTGCTACAGCACCTATGCAGAAGGAGACTGAAATCACGGGCCATATCGTTGCACATCTCAATGTCTCGGTGACGCCATACATCGGTGGCAGCCTGCCATCCGACATTGATCTATTTCTGACACTGCGACACATCTCTGCCGCAGGTAAAGAAGTCTTCTACACTGGAACAGCTGGCGATCCTGTGCCGCTTTGCAAAGGTTGGCTTCGTGTATCGATGCGCAAAGTGAACAATTGTCACTACAAGCATCGATCATACCTGCCGCATCGCGATTACTTCTCGACAGACAAGTTACCAGTGCTGTCTGGGGAAGTCTACCCTGTGGATGTTGAGGTTTGGCCGACGAACGTCGTGCTCGAGCAAGGAGCGAAGTTGATCTTCGAGGTTTCAAGCGGTGATACGCAAGGCAGTGGCATCTTTACGCATATAGGCGAGACTGACAGGACGAAGGAAGGACTGAGCGGTTTGAACCATATTCACTTCGGAAAGAGGTTCGAGAATTATGTAACACTGCCAATTATACCGTAGGTAAAAGGTAATTTCGTAACCGTAAAACCCTGCTTAGAGAGCGACGTCGAAATAAGACGGGGAAAGCTCGATCCTCCACGTGAACAGAGACGATGTTCTTTACCCGCACCAGCTCGACGCAAATTCGTCAAGAGCTTACAATCAGCTTGCTCTCATATTCTCATAGAATTTTGATTCCACCGTCACAAATAGCAATCTTGTTGTCTGGGCAGTGCTTTGCGCCATGATGTCTCACTCATGCTCTCCCCGCGTCTCTCGATTGTCTACTCTCTTCGATTTTGAGGGCTGTGCTTCTGATTTACTAAGATCCTGCCGGGCACTCTTCAACTTTTGCCTGCGACTTTGCGCTACTCACTGTTGTGATCTTTGTCAGGGAAAGGATGGGAAGCCTATCATCATGCGCTGGAACAGTTACCTACTATTTGAATCCTTTTTAGGTTTCACAGATTGTACGCAGTCCTCGTTGGGTAGTGCGCTATCATGTTGATGCATTCTTTGATGACATCTGCCAACTCATGTGCCAAGTTCTCTTTCTGTTCGCGTTTCTCTCGTTCAGCCCTGTGTAATCTTTCGGACCTGCTCTTGTCCCAGACAAGATCGGTGTTTATGGCGCTGGCTCTGTCTTGGAGCTGTGAGAAGCTGGTCTTGTCTGCTTCGCTTCTCACCGCACTCGGATTGCTTTTGCGTTGTACAATTTCTTTGCATATGCTCTGTAACTCTGAATTTCTGACTGTGAGCATTGCTCGAAGGCTGTCGGCGTCACGTTGCAGATTTCTCGAATCTTCAAAAGGCTAATTCAACATCCTTTACGGATACAGTACAGGTAGATGTGCCGTAGAGGGTTCCAAACGGAGTACGTGCTGTGTGGATAATATTGAGAATGTCAACCTGGTGCAATTGTAAGCTGTTAAGCCAGTGGACAAATATTTGTCAGCCTTATCAGCCATCCTAAGCCGCTGAGTTGATTACATCGCTTAATTTGGCAAGTCCGTACTATCGGAGTAGTCTAAGGGAATTTGAGCTGCATGTGCCACACCAAATGACGTTTGCGCAGTTATGTTCTTTTCTTGTTCTGTACTACAGTTTCTTTCAGTGCGTAGACAATGCGCCTTTTATGTTTCTTCTGAAAAAGAGATCTAATCCGATTGTACGGCAAAGACTACATTTGCACTCCAGTCTGCCTCTCGGCCGACATGTCGTCAAATCATACTGATACAGCTAAGCTCATCGCGCAGAATCAATGAGCTGCAACGACTCGATAGTGATAAGTATGATGCAGGTCAAGGCTTTTACTCCTCAGCGCCTCACTTGACGTCCTTTCCATGGCGCTTGCCAGCTCAGCGTCAATCACCAGCAAAGCATTACTCCGATACATTCTTCGATTTGCGAGTTAGCCTACAAGCTCCAAAGACAACCGCTCCTCCTGAAACTCTGCTTGATCTCTGCAAAAGGTAGCATTTGCCTGCGTAACGATGTCACCTGCACCTTGCACTTCCACAAGGAGGCCCTTGAGTGAAGAACCGTGTGAACGTTGCTTCCGAGCATTCCTGTCAACTTCTTAAACTGCGCTGGCGTCCACTATGAGCTGGTCATTTCAAGTGGACTCTCCGAAGACTCGGCTAACTTACAGGACGATTGTACTCTGTCGGAATTATGGCAGATAACAATGAGGCCAATGACAGTCATAACGACACAGAAGACGATGTTGCTGATGAGTTCTGCAGGCATTTGGCAACAAGTAGCGTTTAGCTTGTTGATACTTTTTGAACGACCGCAGTGCTCGGTTTTTTTCGTGTTTAAGACTCTCGACGCTTGACGATAGAGATTAGTCTGTAATTGGAAAACTGTTATTTGGCTCTGGTACCATAGGCGTTTGTCTCAGGCTTAAGGTTACTTGTATTGGATTATGGGCCGGTAAAGATATCCTGATAGCCAGTCATCACATGTATGATTCTGACACAACAGGCTATTGCATCACTGCATCATACAGCATCACACTGTATCACACTGTATTAATGATCGAGGTATATATATCATGACAACGTTGTAAAACATGCCAAATAATGGTCCTCTCCCAACACACTGTCTAGCATCTTTTTATGCTACAATTGCTAAGTAACAAGCATTATGCCTTGCAAACTGACATCTACCCAAAAATAAGAGCGAGAGAGAGGTTGACAGAAGCATAAATTGCCGATCATGTCCTTGAAGCGCGAGAGTTTTCATGCGTACAACCAAAGAAGACAATGGTTTGGATGCAAGGTGCGCCTCAAATCTCGTGCTTGATCTTGGCTGACTTCTCCTCCTGTAGCAAAGATTCCTATGGGAGAAGGATCCGTTCATGGACCAAAATACCAGACAACTCCGATGACAGCGACATAGCAACTGAAGACACGTCTCTCGTAACTCGAATACAGAATTTTGATCTCAGATGTCCTTCGTCTGCTGCAGGCGACAGAGAACATGCCGACAAATAGCTGGATAGGGTTTTCTATGAAAACCGACATTAATCGCAGCTTCGACACAGACGAGCTGATGGACTTTGAGAATTCTGATATGGATAATCAATGGTCCGATTCAAAGAGCTACTCTCATAAAGGAAATGTATCGACACGAGGATAACAACAAGCTACAGAAGAATCGCTCACCAATCCACCAAGCCGCTTAAAATGGATATCTGAACATTGTGGCAGCGTTGCTTGAACGACAAGGATCTGACACAGCGGATGTCGACGAGGAGGATGGCATAACGCCTTTATGGCTTGCAGCTCAGCAAGGACATGTCAAGACAGTATTCTTGTTGATCGAATTGAAGGCGAATAGCGACGTAGAAGCAATATCATCTGGTCGGACACCACTCTATCAAGCGGCTCAGAACGGCCACAGCGAGGTAGGACGCGTGCCCCTCGAGCACACCAAAGACTTCGACGCAGCGGCTTTTGACGGGATAACACCGTTGTGGCTTGCTGCTCAGAAAGACGGCTTTCGGGACACTTCCCTGCTATTTGAGCAGAGCGCAAGTGTTGATGTAATCAGCACGAATAGTGGGCGACTACCAATTTATACTACGGCTTTTCATGGACATACCGCCGTTCCTAAACAACTATCAACACGAACAAAATTGTTGGACGAAGAAAACTATAGTACGATCCCTGATGTTAGCGATAGGTAGAGGCCACCTCTAAGCAGTAAAACTTCTGGTCGCAGGAGGTGCAAAGAAGAATGCATTGTGGATTGGGATCACAATCTCAACTTTAGCCGCAGAAAATGTGGACTTGGAGCTACTGGAGCTTCTAGCCGATAGTGAGGAGAGCAAAGTAGACGGTGAGATTAGTGAAGATGGAGACAACAATTGGCCGTAGAAGTCAAGACAGGCAGGGTATTCACGATGGTTCATGTCGGGCTGCCTTTACCCTTACGTAGGAATCCAACATTTGGCATAGGCACACCCTTGTCGGCATGGCAGGTGATCCGAGGGCTTTTTGCGACTAAGCTTCATCGTTTAGGCAGACAAATGTTGGCTCGAGCATGTTTCTGCCTGGGGCATCTGCTCCCTGCCTGACCAACGATGCTCTGCATTATGTAGCCGTGGTTACTCCAACTTTTAGTAGCCTCTTAATGCGGCGTTCTTGTCTTCCATATTGATGATTTACCACGAAATCATCACAGCAGAACAGCGACGACGAATTATCAAGACAAGGGAAAGGATAAACAGCAGGAGAAGAGACGAGGCCAATCGACAAAAGGTCACCACTAGAAATGGTGGAGACGCAGCGTGAGGAGCGAGTGATGGAGCAACAGATAGGCGAGGAAAAGACGCGACACCTCGGCTGACGGTCGAAGATCGGCGTCAGGGTCGAGGACTTGTGATTCGCTCTTTCGTCAGCATCTTATTATAGCCGAGCCGCCCTGCTGTTTTGGGTGATTAGTGGTCTTTCTGCCTGAACCTTTTGCAGAGACAGCTCATGCATTTGTAACTGTAGTAGTTGCCCTGCACTTTGTTATCGCTGAGGCATGACGTTTGTCATGCTGTCGCACCTGGCTGATCGTCAACAGTAAGATCATCTCCTGTCGTATGAACAAAGGCTATCATGCGCAAGTCTGTCTCTGGATGACCCAGCATACAGTATGGCTCTAACGAGTGTATCGCAGTACCTCTCCGTCGCCCGCCATTCGAGGGTCATGTGGAGCCTCCTTAGCCGCGAGGCTACGTTATCGTGAACATCCAGAGGGGCTTCCGTCGAATTTGTCGAGATTTCTGCACAATGCGACTGCTGAGATGGATGGACCAGAGTCAGATCCCAGACCTGCACGACGACGAGCGACCGCCGTATGCCATCCTCTCCTACACCTGGGCCTGAGACAATAGCCAGGAGGTGACTTTTGCCGCGGTTGAAACAGCAGCAGGACAGAGGGAGTCGGGCTACGAGAAGATTCGGTTCTGTGCCGAGCAGGCCAGAAAAGACGATATCAATCACTTCTGGATAGACACATGCTGCATCAACAAGGATAGCCACAGCGAGCTCTTTGAAGCCATTACCTCGATGTTTCGCTGGCATTAGAACATGGTGAAGTGCTATGTGTGCCTATTTAATGTCTTGGCTTGGAAGTGGAACCACGAAGGCGACATACAGTCTGCCTAGGAGGCGAGCTTGCCGTTAAGCAGATGGTTCACCCGAGGCTGGATCCTGCAAGAGCTGCTGGCCCGGAAGACTGTCGAATTCTTCTCGAGAGAGGGTATGTTACTGGGTACTAAGGTGACGTTCGCGCAGTAAATTCGCGACGTCACGAGAATTTCCACTGCAGCTCTCCAGAGCTTAGGGCTTAGGGCTTAGGGCTTAGGGCTTAGGGCTTAGGGCTTAGGGCTTTAGGGCTTAGGGCTTAGGGCTTAGGGCTTAGGGC